CCATGACAAACCTCAGTTTGAAAAAAGTCCGACATTTCATCAGACGATTTTGAAACAGCTATTTCATGTAGAGGAAACCTACATTAACAACTCGAAAATATAGATAATCTGTTTTTAATTGCTTTATTTCAGAGTTCTTGTACTACGTCATTGAATGCGATCAACAAGAATGAAAAATATAATAAATAAAAAAAAATTTTTATAAATCTTTTTTACCGACGTTACTTGAAATATTGGAATTCGTCTCAAACTATTCTCACAACGCTGATTATCTCTTTCGGAAGCCCTATAAATTGCATTTTGGTGCATCACAAATCATTTGACATAATATTACTGACCGTATCCCTCTAATTTAAATAAAAAATAATTTTATTGGAAATTAATTTTTTTTTAATGGTCTTCTAATGTTAATTCTCATAAGATGCACAACATATCCAAATATTTTCGCAAAACAGTACTACGAGATGGAACTGGTATTTTCAGCGTTTTGTCAATTTTTTTTTTTTTTTTTTTTTACATCAATATAAGCTTTAAAAAATTTGCAAAAATTTACCCTAGTGTGCAACAACAGCCTGGAAAGCACTTATTGTTTAAAAAAGCTTTTTATCCATATATTTCCAGGAAGAAACTCTAGAACATACAATATTGTAAAATTTACGAATGATTTGGAACGTCCCCGAAAATTTCAGAACACAAGCTTAGCTTAGAAATTCATCACTAAAAATAAGATTAAAAAATTTGAGCTAAGCTTTTCTTTGTCCGGACCGTCGACATATTGTAATCCTATCTGGTTTATTCCAGAATTTTTACCTTGTTATCAGAAGCAGAAAAAAAAAATATGTTGCTACGGTCGCATACCTACCTATTAATAATTTTTTTACGACACAGCTGCGTACTGTAGGTATAACACGGAAAACATTGCCATAGTCCGTGTATTTATTTTTTGAACGTTGAACAGTACGAGCCACTGAATTTTCATCTACAAAAAGTAAGTTAATTCTTATAAAAATACATATGTATATGCTATTCAGATTTTTTTAGTAATACTTTATTAATAGTTTCTTCTTTATCGATACAAATCATTTATCAAACCTGACGTTGACGCATTTCATGGACGTATTTCATCCAAGATAACTTATCGACATTATTTGCCAGAGTTTTAACTTTTAACAAATTTTAATATCATTCAGTTACCAGTAAAAAATCATGGCATTTTTAATTTTTACAATTTATTAGTGCACCGACAGCTTTTTGAATCTTGTTTTACCCGTATTTTACGTATCACGTTTACAAGTAACAGGTGAAATGGAAGGTTGGCTATATTTGTTATCTCATTATGTTTTCAAGTTAAAATTCGTTAGAAAAATTCGTCTATTAAATACAATTAATGTGTCTACTTTGCAGTGTTGGTATCCATAACTAAAATTAACTAAAATTCCAAAGATAATATACAACCAATACGTATAATAGAGCTTCGGTCCTCTTACTGAAAAATAAACAAATCAATAATTACGAATCGATAAATACACAGCAAAGCCAATGAAATTACAACTGATTGTACCGACAAATTTTTAGCGCAATGTCCAGCCACAAGGAAAACAACAAACTCAACGAGGACGAGCATCGAATATACCACGGTTGCACCAAGTGTGACAAAATATTTCCGGATAGACAAAGCGTGGAGAGTCATTACTCGAAGAAGCACGAGACGAAGGACACCTCGAAATTAACGGGAAACGATTGCAAAGAGACTCTGTAACTAGCAAAAAAAAGTCGGAATGATGTTCATTTGGTGCAACTCAGTGAAATAAAAAACTTTGGAAAAAAAAAAAACAATAATTATCTGAATTTCTTGCACAACCAAATCGCGTATTGTAAGCGTTCGCTTGGTGGGTTTGTCAATATTGGTGTCACGCTAACGAGCCTCAATACTATAACCAAAACCGATAGGTGCAGTCTCGCAACTTGAAAAGGATTTCAACTGTAAAGAGAAAAACTTGATCTCGAGGTATTCGAGAGTCAGCAGTAGTCCCATCAGGGAATTTAACGATTATCCGAACCAGCGACTCGCTCCCGATCCATACTATCTTTGAAAATTCATTGGATTCCTCGTTTTGTCGTTGAATCGTCCGAATTTCGCCGAAAAGCAAAGTCGCCGACTCGAAAATCATTTCGCTCCCAAAGTCGGTGGGACGCGCTCGAAATTCCCAAGGTAATCATCTCCCCTCGTGCGATTGCGAGCAAAGACACAAAGTACATAACCAGTCGTGCGCTCCTCTCTTGATCAACCTCGAGCCCGTGAGTAACGATTCCCAAAACTTTTTCACCCCAACTTTCTTTTTTAACGACGCTGGGAAAAAAAAAGAAAAAAGTGAGTTTGAAGAACGGAAGGGTCCGCGTGTGTCGGAGAAAAATCACCCCCCCCCCGCGCGAAGAAACTGGATTCCCTCGAAAAGTCTCGGCGACTACGCATTTTTCTTTTCCTTTCTCCCGCAAGAGAAAAACTTTACCTGTATACCCATTTGGCGACGTACTAGCGCGCACTCGCGTCATCGCCACGACCGCGCACTTTAACCATTGGACGTCGATTGATTGACAACATACATATGTACCTGCGACGAAAACGAGGAGTCACGGCTTCCTTTTTTGCCGAGCGCGTACATTTTCCACGACACGCACAAAAGCTCGCCCCGTTGTAACGGCCGCGGGACAATGACAGTTGCCGTAGAAAACGCCCACGTTACTGTTAATTGGCCGCCTTTGGCCGTATACAGCGCGAACAATGCCAAACACGGGACTGTATGGATTATACGAGGTACACACGCCTCTTCAACAGCGTCGTATTGAAAACACGGGGGGGGGGGGAAACGGTGGAATTTTTGATTTCAACTGTAGAGAGAAGGAAATCTGAAACGCTTTGTCGCGGCGCGAGTGGAGGGCCAAGAGCTCTAACGGCAAAGCCATGCGGATTTGTAATTCGCGGAGAAGCAGAGCTCAGTTGGAAAATCGTAGAGCGCGTGTTTGCCATCAGCGCGAAGGATGGTAATTATAACTCGTAATGGCGCGTCTCTCCGTCTCAGCCAGTGTCGCCCATTGTCTGTATTTGTAATATACTTCCAAGGCGCGCGCGGAGGGAGGGATGAAAAATTAATTGGCCGCTAGGCGAAATTCGCATTTAAAAAGCCGCTCGCATAGAGCTTCTCTTAATTAACGAGGATTATTCACAGTTTTTCTTCTCTCAACGAGCTGTCATTTGTGCTGCATTTTAGGGACAAACAAGAGTATAATCAGGTGTCGATCGGAAATAACGTACAAACGATCGTTAATCCTTCATTTTTACACATTAATTCACGAACGGCGAACCATCCCGTGAATACGTCATTTGGCATCGAGGCCAACATTTTCGAGATTCCCGAGAGCGAAAACGAGGAATTCGACTGATTTTGACGGCATTGGATTTTAGCGTATGATTGTCCTTCCGGGTCACCTATAGCCTTTGGAATTCGTGTATTTGCAGCGAGATATCATATTTCGAATTACAAAGCAAAAAGGTTAAACTATGCAAAAAAAGAAAAGAAAAAGAAATTAACCGTATTTTTTAAACCCCCGAGCTTTGCCGAGCTTACGTTACGTACGTGTACTCTCGGTGAGTTGAAAAGCCCCAAGTTTCATCAGCGCGTATATCCCCCGCCTCCCTTGATATACGGTGTAACCCATCGGAGGCCGAGCGTAATCAGCGGTACCGCAACTCCCGAAACTCGGTCGCGACGAGACTCGGCTTCCTTCCCCTCTTCCTCCTCGTCCTCGACCGACAGAAGAAAGACAAGGCTATATACATAGGGGTACAGAGGATCCGAGGGCCTCCGTACATTTTAGGCACAACAGTCAGCCGGTGCTAATGCCCAAAGAAGCGTCCTCGAGCTTGCGAGTCGACGAGGGATGATCCTCACTCACCCCCCAAAATGTGGCTCTCCAACCGATAGAGGCTTGATTATCTTTTAACGTCGACCCTATACGGACGTGCCGTTGTTTCTCTCCCACCGAGCATTTTAATTCCATTGGACTGGAACGTCGTACTCTCCTTTTCTTTATTAATCGCGCTCTTGTGTTTTCCGCGCGAGCGATGCGTACACAGTTTATTGCCCCGTGAAATATCGAGGACAGGACGTGGGGACGGATCAACTCCCACCCGTGCAAGTGCATACATGTATATTGTTTACTCCCAAGGGACGACTGATTGAGATTCTAATCGAACCTGGAAAAATTACCTCCGCCGCTGAAGCTATACATAACAACGTATAGGTATCGGCTCTCTTTTTTTACCTCTCATTTCCTGGCATGACTCGCTGTTCGCGCGGTACGAGCCGCGGCACACCTATGGCGACTGTAGGTGTATACGCGGTGATTAATGGCGCGCGCGCGCGATCCGAAGATACGCGAGTTCGGAGCGAAATTTCCCTCTCGGCGGTGGCAAGAAAAAACACTCGTGAGTTTTCATTACCATGGTTTTTAAAAGCAACAAAGGGTGGGGGGGGATGAAAATGTTTCCACCATCGTCCATAAAAATTTCACCAACGATTGGGAAAGCAAATCATAGTCGTACGAGCAAACCCTCGTCAAATTAGGGAGAAAGACGGGGAGCTTGCATCAATTAAAAGCTCACCCCGTGGCATACGCGGTGCAAGTGCGCCAACACCCCCGAGCGTGTAATTTGTACGGCGAGCCATGGGGGGGCTGCACTCGACGTGAATTTAGGAAGGAGGGACCCCTCTTAAGCTTTACCGTCCCTTTCATCCCTCCTGACAAATCGCAACAGCAGCAGCGTGCTCTGAACCCCAAAACACGGGGGGCGATCGGAGAGAGAGAGAGGGACGTGTACACTTTCAGACGCGTCCATTAATCGAGGGGATTTCCCTCCAATATATATACATATACGGTTATATCTATACAAGTGTACGAGCGAAGAAAAGAAAATGATACATTGGTCTGTGTAATTTCAGGTGGTCAAAATGATGATAGTCGTCGTGCTGATATTCACCGTCTGTTGGCTGCCCTTTCACGCGTACTTTATCGTCACCTCGATTTTGCCCGAAGTCACGGACAAAGCATACATACAGGAGGTTTACCTCGGCATTTACTGGCTGGCCATGTCCAACAGCATGTACAACCCCATCATCTACTGCTGGATGAATTCCAGGTATACATATGGTGCTTCTTTTTTGGCGCATTCGAGGGCTATGTGGCAGTTTGGCTTTCGGTCGCGATGAAACGTTTCAACCGCAAGCCAGTCAATCGTATATATTAACAATATCGTTTCGCGCGTAACTGGAAAAACAAGGAAACTTTGGGGGGGATGGGAAAAAAAATTCAAAAAGTTTGAAAAAGCTCGCGGTCGGAGGGGGGACGCGATAAATTTCTGGTAGCTTTTTTTTTTTTTTTTTTTTTAAATTTCCATAACCGCCGCGGAGTTTTGTCGCGCGGGGAAACGAAGAAAGGGTGACACGGTACAGCCCCGAGATTGTCTTTTCGGAGAAAGATTTTAATTTTACATAAAAATAATAATAATAATAACATGAAGCAACGATGACTAAAGAAAGAAAAAAAAAAAAAAAAAAAAAAAAAAAAAAAAAAAAAAAAAAAAAAGAGAAGAGAAAAAAAAGCGTTACAACGTGCAGTGTGATGTCTCTTAGGTTTCGCCAGGGCTTCGCCCAGTTCTTCTCGTGGCTGCCGTGGGTGCGGGTGAGGCAAATACCCGCGCTGTCGCGCTCGGAAGCCGTCAACTCGCGCTACAGCTACGCCGGCAGTCCCGAGATTCGTGGTCGACTATCCCGCAATGGTACGTACAACGACACGCATACACGCGTTGGCATGTGCACACATATATTAGCTGGTTAGACCCTATCCCTCGTATCCTTTGACTCCTTGTGGCGTTGATGTAAACATGTACCTAATGCACGCACCATATACGAGACGCGTATGTAGCGGGTACATCTTCATTTCGGGGGTTGGTACCAAACATGTACGTCCTAATTACGGATATCGAGGGACTGGTCGTGTGCAGTGTAACTCTCTCGTGTAGTGGTGATGGACACCGTAATGGGCTGTATTGTTGCTGGCGATGTTGCTACAATAAAAGAGCAACAGCAGATGGGCGATGATGAGTTGTTTGTTTGCTTATTTCCTCCTTTGTTACAGCTGGTGTACATCGGCTAGGGTGTGCACGGGAGAACTTTGTGTGAGCTGCAATCTTTTATTTTGTTACGCCGAACATAATAATCGATCGAGTTTTCCTTCCTCTTTCGGACAAAGTTACATCAAAAATCTCAATCGCGCAATAAAAAACACTCGCTCTTTCAAACCTGCGTCAAAACGTTCGCTGAACAAAAAAAATGGCCCATTATATCGGCACCTTTGTGCATTTTCTTTTTTTTTTCCAACTCTTGACAAATTCTCAAATAATAATGTTTCGCCGCCCAAAGTAAAAGAGGCCGTGATCCCTCCAACTTTTCAATTTCTCGTCAACAAACGCGTCGCGACCAGATATGGCCTTTACGAGGCTCGTAAACCTACACGTATACACACGTGCCCTCGAGCCAACACACAGAAGCAGAGAGCGTCGGTGGCCAATCCGAGGTAATAATTGCTCGGCTAACTACTGCCGCAACAGCCGCTCGTCCTTCCCTTCTCCTGTGCCCGTATATATATCTATGGTCCAGATATATGTACACCCAAAGCGCGGAATAGGATTTTGACGTTTGATTATCGGCTTTCGGGGCGGACTTTCCCCTTCTCGCCGAACACGCTCTGACGTATGTTGACTTGATCTTCTTCTCGCGCTAATGCCCACCCGAGAGATAACCCAAAATGTTGTACGTGCGCGTCAACGGGTTTTATGACCCTTTTTCTTTTTTCTCTTCGCACAATTTGCCTGAAACCAAGGTCTATCGAATTTTACGTTCCGGTAGTTAAAAACAAATGATAACGACGGTTAAGAGCGCGTTTGTTCGTATAAATCAGAGGAGTGGATGAAACATCATCTCGAAAATTGAAAAAGTTGCCGTATAGGCACATAAAATTTCATACTCGCAGTAGAACTGGTAAACGTGCGGTCGGACGCGCCGAACGGATTAGAGCGAATATTCAATTAACAAACATTACCCCTGCAGCTGTGATTTGTACTACAGGGCTACGGATTACCTTCAAATATATAGCTTCGTGTGACAAGTTATAGTCTCTATGATGCTTTAATTAAATTTGTTCGATATATATATGTCTTTGAAAAATGTTTGCTCATTTCAATAACGCGTGGAACAAAGAGTTAAAACAAAATGGTATTCTACCTTACTTTTGCATTAAATTTTTCTCACCATTTCTCTATAACTTGATCAAAAAACGTTTTTCATCCCGAGTTTTTGCTCGTGTGTTGTGTGTGAAATATTATCGATTCGCGTAACGACAAATGATTTATCGCGGATTTATTGTGACAAACGTCTAATTACTTTATAATATGTTTATTTAACAAAATTGATTTTTCACATGATCGTTGTGATGCATATTTTTTACCACTAGTAGGGCTTAAATGAGTCATCGAGTAAAATTTGTTTAGCCGATATATTTGATGAGTCACGTGTTTACGCGATACACAAGCAATAATTTATGCTTTTACTTAGACAATAAGTATGCGTATGTATAAGGTATCGGTACATCGATCGTAAAATATGACATATTGTTTCCGGAACGCGTATCTCTTGCTTTCATCATCGACGTAAGGAACATTCCATTTCCGAGTCACGGCGTATTTTTTTCCTACAAATTCGAGATAGCCCCCCTTTTTTCCGGAGCTATCGACATTGTTGCAATATAATATATTTCCAATAATAACATTTGGCTGAGGAAAAAAAGAAAAAAAAAAACTCGAGGGACGCACCTACAGCCAGCGTGTGTATGTACAAGGCCAGGGGAGGAGAAAAGTAGGAAGAAACCGATAGAGATGGAAAATGATGTAGCCCATGCCAGCCGTGTGGTAATATCGAAGCACATGTAGGGTAAAAGCCCATTAAAACGTAGAACCGGGGGTCGGAGGGTGAGCGAAGTTGGCTCGCTGCAAGACAATAAATCAGCGATAAAAGGGACTCTCCAACTACCCCCAGGAGCGAGACTGCAGTTTAATAAACCCGAGTTTCCATGCGTTTTTTGTTTTGTGCTCTCGTGGAATATACACACGCGCTTCCCTCCATTCGAAGGAGACATTTGTTCATTTTTAGGGCTAGTTAAAAACCCGTACTTTGCAGACCACAAGGTATACACTTGATCAGCGTAAGTTTAACCAACGCCATCTTTCGTTATTTTCCACCGAATCTCCAATTGTCCCCACAACTGTTCCCAACCACAAAAACCTGCACCTTCGCCACTCGGTCGCTCTACTCCTGTAAAAATCATAACGAAAAAAAAAAAAAAAACACCCACAGGCACGATCCTGCGTCAGATGCACATGCAGCCGACCTTCGCGGAGACAACGACGACCTTGGCGCCGTCCCGGCGGGACAGTTGCGAGCAGAGCCACGTGGAGAACGGCTCGCGCCGGCTGCCGGGCCCGGCCCACCGGCACAGGCTGCCCTACACGGCGACGCGCTTCCAAAAACTCGGCGCCCAACCGGACGACTTTGGCCCGGTCTCCTGACCCAAGCCCCCGACCCACCAACGCCGGGAGCTCAACGGCTCGTCCGACAAAAACGAGCCCGACACCGAGAAGAAGCGCGTACGCATCGACAACACCTGGCTATGAATTGTACGTATACTTATATATTGTGATTGTTGTACCGCCCCCCCGTGGGCTCAAGGAACATCGCGTACCTATATATGTATATTTTTCTCATGTCGCTCGCAACCGTCGGACACCCCTTTGCCACTGATGAGACTTTTACTGTGTACATACTTTTTCAAAGGATATACATATACACAATTCGACACACGTGCACAATTGACAAGTGCACGGGTTTGGGTGTGTACGTAGGGCGCTTATCCAATTTATCGAGCTCTGTAGAGTACAATATACAGAGTTGTGATCTTTCGACGTGTAAATATTGTATACAGTTTGGAGTTGTGTAAATATGTGTATGGCATCGGACGAATATTCGTGGGATGGTGTGGTTTAATCGACTGGTCCGTAGTTGCAAAGGATAGTTGGGGTTCAAACGTTACAAAGCGATAATCAAAATATAATTGCAGTATATACATACCGCACGATGCACGTGACAAAATATATGTTACAAAAAGGATGTAAGTACTTATAATTATACTTGTCCGTAGTTTTTACGAAATCGTGTGTATACGAATTTCTCGTTTTGGTTGACATTGGTAACCGGGTTACATTATTTACGTCAAAGGTGTGTTTTTTGCTCTCGTACGTGATCGGACTGCTGTTGGTAAACAGAGAGATAAAAATGTTTGGTTACCGATTAAAATACATATGTAAAATTGTTATGTTTTTAAATTTTACGGTCAATTTTAAGTAGAAAGCGTGTGGTAATTGTATGTTTATTGACGAAACTTTTTGTTTTTTCTCTCAATAGACACCTTTTTTTTTTATAAGAAATAGCCAACAACCCTAAAGTGCAAATAATATAAGTTTCATTGATTATTGTAAATTTTTGTAGAGTAAATATTGGCTATTGAACCAACAAAACTCAAAATTTTTTCGTAAGTATTTTTTTTTTGAGCTTCAACAATTTCCATTTCATCGTTTCATTGAGAAGCAAAGAAGTGCTTGCGGCCGCAATCTAGTCTGTGAATTTTTGCGGGTCAGTGATTCTTTCCGTTAACGAATGTGTAGGTATATACGTATGTATAAATATGTGCATTAGATACATATACACAAATTAGTGAATGTTTTTCCAACTAAGTATATGTTACGCAAACATTGTAAAATATACGAATCCACGTACGAGAGTCATCGGGGAAACCATATGCCTTCTCATACGTGTGTATCATTTTTCGTGAGATTTTTATTGTTAAGAATTTTTTATACAAATCAAACTGTTTAGTTGTATGTTATAAATACTTCTGAGCTTACTATCATTTGTATACTATTATTTTTTAAGTATGTAATGTACATCTTGTAGATTTCTTACTGGCTTATGAAATAAATATATTTTATAATAACGATAAATGGAATTTTCACTCACCAAATATTACATTACGAAGTATTGAATGATTAAAAAAAAAAAAAACTGTTTTTACTCGAAGCATAGTGAATGCCATTGTAAAAAGTTGTATTGCATGACAAATTGTTGAAATTTATGATTGAAAACAAAAATAACTGTAAAATCAGGTAAATAAATCTTTCTTTCAATATCGCCAAGTCCACGTTATGATGTTCGTAAATATAGTACTACATTTTTATATTATGGAAAATATAAATGTATTAGTATATATTAGTCGGTTGTTGTGTGTTTACCGAAAAAGATTGTATTAAGCGGACGTTAAAAATCAAAGGATGGATATTGATTATATTGTACATATAAAAATAAAAATAAAAAATTTACGAAAAATATGAGAAATATAAGAAACTAAGGGTAAACTATAGAGAAACTGAATGTGCAATGCGTAAGATAAATCTACTTTATCTATTTTGGGCCTAATTTCTCCATTATGTAATATAAATTCGCAGGCTCCGAAATCACACATTAAATGGACCAATTAACATTTCTTATTCGCGCAAACTCTGCGTCTAAAGAAAACTGTAATTGTTAAAAGAAAATAAATGTTGCTGAAATAAAATTATTAATTTCATTGGTTTTTGTTCATTGTAAACATACAATCTAACAATACAATATTTCTCTCTTCTTTTACAAGGAATCAAAAGATAATGAAACAAGCCAATGGTGATAATGGAAATTTATGTATTTTTTATTTACATTCTTTATTTGTATAGTTTACTATTCACAAATATTTTCCTCATTAACTATCGTGAAAAAGCAGATATTAAAAAAAACAGTTTTGACGTTTATTTTTATTTGCTATTGTTACCTTATGCTCAAAAAAGTTTGTTTTATTCACACAATCAATCAAAAAGTATTAAAGCTTCATATTTATGAAACTTTTTGGCTCTTTATTGGAAAACGGTAAAATATATGGAGTTTTTTTTTTTGAGATACACTTTGTTCAGTCCAGAGTTTTCGGTTTTAATTACTTGTAAACTGTTGTTCCCGATTTCTCTTCTCGCAACAAATAGCCTTCCCTCTCAATCAAACAAAAGACTGAGATCTCCTACTTTTTATTTGGATAAAAACGACGAAAGCACTTTAGACTACAAGAACACATCAACTAGACTCATCTCCTCACCAAAGAAGTACTTCGACTTCCTGCCGTTGTTCTCCCTCTTACTAAAATGTTGTAGCTTCCGTAGATCGAAGGGTTCGATCGCCTCCAGTTTTCGCAGTACCAGGTCGACTTGATTGGCGAAGTCCGCTCCTCGACTTTCGTACCTCAACAGCTCTGGTCGTCGTTGTTCTACCAATCTACCGAAGCACCGAGCCACATTCACTTGCCCAGCTATCTCACGTCCCTCCGAGACTTTCAGACAACAAATAGACTCCGCATCCTGACACCTCCAGATGACAACGAGGGATAACTTTGGAAGCGATTCGTCGATCGAGTTCTCGAGCCTACCGCAAAAATCCTTTACCTCCGCTGAAACCTTCGAGTTGCAAGTTGTCGAGTGATAGTGCACGCTTATTCTCACAGAGAACACTGTCTTTAGCGGCTTCAAAAGAGCCTCGAGGAAGTACGGTGGATACGTGGGGTCGCAGAACATCACGAGATCTTCCGTGATGGGCTTTGCAGCTGGTTGAGGCCTGTCTGCAAGCGTGCCACATTCGTCGGCATTTGTCGATGCTGACGAGACTTTGCATCTGTCGGAAAATTGGACATTTACATTCAATGTTATTATTTCGATTACAATGAGTTTATGAATAGCAGTGGGTTTGGGTTTCGGTTACACAAGCAGACAGACTATTACATACACAAAGAACAAAAAAAGTCAACTCAAAGACTATGCTAACGAGAAGGAACTTATTTATTATTAATACATGAAACAAAATAAAATGATGTTTGAAAAAAAAAAGAACATTTGCGAAAATTGTTATTGATAAATTGTTTTTACTTGTCTAGACGACATAATGGGTTGTCCTGGACCATTTGTAAATCGACCTTAGGTCCAACCAAATCTCTTATATTGTTGAGACCATACTTTATCATTGTAGGCCTGGAAAAAATTAATGCTCGTATCTGGTAACCGTGTAATGAATAATTTTTTAGAAAGCAAAACAAAATTATTACTCACCTTTCCAGTGACAGCCCCCAAGCAATAACATTAACATTTTCTGGAAGACCCATGGGCAATAACATTTCTGGTCTAAAAATACCACTATTTCCTATTTCGATCCACTTGCCCAAGCCCTCATGGAAACAAAAAATTTCCATACTTGGCTCAGTATATGGATTGTAGGCAGGCTTGAATTCAAGCTTTGTTATGCCAAGTTTGCTAAAGAACTCATAGAGTATGCCAATCAAATCTCCCAATGTGAGATTATAATCTGCTATTACACCTTCAACTTGATGAAACTCGGCCAAATGGGTGGCATCTAGGGTTTCATTTCTAAATACTCTGTCGATACTAAAATACCTTACTGGCTTAAACTTGCCCTACAGTGGAGAAAAGCGAGGGTCCGTTTTATTTTACAACAACAGTAATTGTTTGCAAAGTTACATATTTTTTTTAGTTTTCTTACCTGTTCCATTAGTCTATACAACATTCGAGCACTAACTGCCGTTGTGTGAGTTCTTAATAGATTCTTCTGGGCTTCCTCCAGCTTCCAGTCATATCTGTAACCTTGGGATCCATAGCCACCTTTGCTGTGGACCTTACGTACTTTATCCAGATAGTCTTCGGGAAAACTTGTGCTTGTAGCAGGATCTAAAAATATCGTCCACTGTAAGGTCTAAAACCATACAATTTTCAATTTTAATAGCAACACACAAACCTGAGATGAAAAAGGTATCATGAGCATCCCTAGCTGGATGCTGTTGAGGTTGGAACAATGCATCAAAATTCCAGAAAGAACTTTCCACATAGTTATTTGTTGGCATCTCTTGAAAGCCCATTTCCAAGAATATTTTCCTAAACTCCGACCTAACTTTCAACAGAGGATGCAAGTGCCCAACATCAAGGGGTGCACCAAGAGCATCTAAATTGATAGGCTTGAATTTCTTCTGCTTCCATGCATCATTGACCAACAGATCGGCAGTCAGATCAGCTTCTGGCTTTTCGATTTTAGTTGAGAAGCTGTCACCTTTCTTAAGTACCATAATCTTTATGACGCTGAAACAACAGCAAAGGTGTTCATAAGATGAATAACAAATATTATCCAAAACAAGGAGACAAGAACTCTTACTTTTCTTTCAGCAATTTTCTTTTCTTGTACTCCTTCTTCAAATCTTCTGACAGTGTTTGCAGATCTTTCATGTGCTTCTGAACATCATCCGTGATAGTAGGCACCTTTCTCCTGATGAAAGTATCTTTTTCATTTTTGACTAGTTCTATCCACGAGGCAGCAAGAGCCTTTGACAGACCGACTTTGGCAAATGGAACGTTTGCCAAAATATCTGCTTGTTTGGCACCGTTTGAGTCTGCAGGTACGGCATTATACACCGCAGCTTCGTGACTTCCGTGATCCAGGACATGCTGCCCCTCATCTGTCAATACCCATTCCTTGCTACTTTTAAAATCTACTTTTAGCAGCTGTAAAGAAACAGTTGGGCCATGCAGTATTAACATATGTTTGTATCAAAATTATTTTCAATGAATGAAGACGATAGTTGTAACTTAACAAGGGATGATTACGAGTTTAGTTTTTACAATTAAACAACAAATTCAACACTTACATCGTCAAAGGCTTGCAAGCTCTTGATAGCACCAACAATCTTTTGATGATCAACACCAAATTTCTGTGCCAAGCCAGGAGAGTCTGCCTCTTCGTTCTTTGCCAAGTACTCCAATATATTTTCCATTAATTCCGTAGCCATTGCACCAAGTTTGTTATTATAACATTTACGTCTATGCAAAATGGTCCATACACGTGTTTCTTGACAACTTTTCGATTTTTGCTCACCTTACACTTGACCTAAGCAGCCAAAGCCGGTCTCGACTTTATTATTATTATTATTATTGTCTTTTTCAGTTTTGTTTATAATTGATGGATCTTTTACATATGTACAATCGTAAAGTACTATAGCTTGTGTAGTGATGTTTTTACTGTCTTGTTTCGTTTTCAAACAAATACTGTTTTTTTAATGCAAAAATCAACATAGGTGTTTTCAGCAATCGTCACCAGCAAGTAATTTAAATTGCGCTCTACGTTACCATCAGGTCGGTAAGTCAACTACCTTGAATTAACTGGCGCTGTGTTCCGTAATCTGGCCAGTTAAAATAGCTGGTGAAGACGATTGCGGAAAACACCCCAGTGGCGTTACCACCACAACCTACGTAACTTTACAGCCTCTGATTTTGTCATTCTGGTAAAGAGAGCACGGTGTAAGATGTACGTGAAGTTATGTGTATAGTAATTAAAGTAATTACTACTAAGTAATGCCATATGGTCGATTTTATTAAACCATATAAATATATATATTTTTGGAGGTAGACTTTTGGGTAAGAAATAGATTGTAAACTTGCCGCAAACAGCACAAACCACGTCAACTTCTTATTATCTACTTACAAAATTAGTTGCGGCTGGTTTATAATTGGTTAAATGGCTCTAATATAAGAAGTAATCATTATTTGGAGCAGCGCCATCTAGCGTTGCGAATTTTTGAACTAAAAAGTGGCCCTAAACTTTTGAACCAGAGCTTTAGCGCGTAGAGCCATTTAGTCAGTTATAAACCAGCCGCAACTCATCTTATGGCTATAAAATAAAAAAATAATTATACGTGAGTTTTTGGCGGCAAGTTAACAATCTATTTTCTACCAACAAATTGACCTCCTATGTGTTTATACTTTTAAAGATAAATTTTTGAGCATAAGATAGATTGTTAGCTTGCCGCCAAAAACACACGTATCGTTATTTTTTTATTTTATAGCTTCGTCATGAGTTGCGGCTGGTTTATAATTGGTTAAATGGCTCTAATCCAGAATGCTCTGATTGAGAATTTTAGGAGCCACTTTTGGCCAAAAAATAAAGACCGCTAGATGGCGCTGATCCAAAATAATTAATGCTACTTACAGCAAAGTCACTTTATTAAATATAAACCAGCCGCAACAAATCCTATAGATAGATAATAAAAAGTTAACATTTTTTGTGCTACTTGCGGCAAGTTTACAATTTATCTTTTACCTTAAAATCGACCTCCAAAACCATCAATATTCTACTTATCTTGTATGGCTCATAAAATCGACAATATTTACAAAATTACAATACTATAGACCTTTTACCATTAACTAATGAAAGCACAAATTAATCAGTCCAAAAGAGACCACCGAAGAAAAAGGGCCTGAAAAAGAAGCACAGTCACACGAAAAGTCTCATAAGAATATGGAGCATTGGATCTCACTTGATCAGAGGAGGTTGGGTTCTTTGTTTACTTATAACACTTAAAATTTACATCTCTGTAATAAATGTATTTTTCAATTAGTGAGATCCAATGCTCCATTCCTAGGAGACTCTTCGTGTGACGGCTTCTTTTTAAGACCTTTTTTCTTCAGTTGTCTCTTTTCGACTGATTAATTTACGTGTATATTTGATCCTGATTTACGATTTCTGTAACACAAATTTTGTTATGTACATATTATATAAGTTAACTGTTTATTGGAAATCTAAAGTTGAAGGGCTGTTCTTTCATTAGTTAATGGTAAAAGGTCAAGAGTATTGTAATTTTGTAAATATTGTCGATTTTATGAGCCATATAAGATAAGTAGAATATTGATGGTTTTGGAGGTCAATTTTAAGGTAAAAGATAAATTGTAAACTTGCCGCAAGTAGCACAAAAAATGTTAACTTTTTATTATCTATCTATAAGATTCGTTGCGGCTGGTTTATAATTAATAAAGTGACTTTACTGTAAGTAGCAATAATTATTAGGATTAGCGCCATCTAGCGGTCTTTATTTTTTGGCCAAAAGTGGCTCCTAAAATTCTCAATCAGAGCATTCTGGATTAGAGCCATTTAGTCAATTATAAACCAGCCGCAACACATGACGAAGCTATAAAATGAAAAAGTAATAATACATGTGTTTTTGGCGGCAAGTTAACAATCTATCTTATGCTTGAAAATTCATCTTTAAAAGTATAAACACATACGAGGTCGATTTTTGGTAGAAATTAGATTGTTAACTTGCCGCCAAAAACACATGTATCGTTGTTTTTTCATTTTATAGCTTCATCATGAGTTGCGGCTGGTTTATAACTAACTAAATGGCTCCAAGCGCTAAAGCTCTGGTTCAAAAGTTTAGGGCCACTTTTTAGTTCAGAAATTCGCAACGCTAGATGGCGCTGATCAAAATAATTATTACTTCTTATATTAGAGCCATTTAATCAATTATAAACCAGCCGCAACTAATTCTATAAATAGATAATAAAAAGTTGACGTGGTTTGTGCTGTTTGCGGCAAGTTTACAATCTATTTTCTATCCAAAAGTCTACCTCCAAAAATATAGATATTCATATGGTTTAATAAAATCGACCATATGGCATTACTTAGTAGTAATTACTTTAATTACTATACACATAACTTCACGTACATCTTACACCGTGCTCTCTTTATACCAGAATGACAAAATCAGAGGCTGAAAAGAGTGTAAAGACCCCTAACCCTGCCTTACCACATGAAAGATGATAAGGAAGGTATTAGTCAACTTTGTAGGTAAGCAAGAACTCGTAGTATCCAACACCAATTTTTCAAATCAATTATCTTAAGTTAAAAAATTATTATGTTATACGTAATTTGAAAAGACCTTACGTTAGTGATAACGTATAATTATGATATGTATAAATTTTTCTTTGGACAACTTTCATCAACTTATTAAAATATTTTTACGCACTTTGAGTAATTTAAACCTAACCTTTGCCGCCTTAATTGATATTTGTGTGTGCTGCGTAGAGTGCAAGTGCATAATATATGTAGAATTGCGGAGTATAAGTAAATAAACTATAAACAGAGTTAACAGACGATCACGATCAGTCAATGTAAATGTTATGTATGTATCGTTTATCAGCAATGAAACACAACTCTGCAATCTCTGCACTAGCCAGTGGCTCTGCAACGAGATAACATATTTTTTTTACCGTTGATGAATCAATTATCATGCTCCGTGATGATTTGTAGTTAGTGTTTATCAAAGCAAGTGATTCACAATAAATTCTTTTTCTAAGCTTAGTATCAAGAAATATATCTCCGACAATGGAGGAGATGTCAGAATCGTCTGATACGATGAAAACTTCCATAATTCAAACTGATGTACGTATTTACGGGCGTGTAATTTAATTACTACACGTTATTTTTAGCACAAATGGAAAAATAGTAAATAGATAGTAGTAAAGTTGGAAAAAAAATTTATCTTTTAGGCCATGTCAGCTTTGGCGACAACAATGGATAACTTAAGTTGCTCAAATGACAACGGAAATAATGTAAGCAATAGTGATAAAACAAACAGTGAGGAGACGAACATTAATATCGAAGATCGTTACAACAAGGTTGGTTTGGAATTTATGTATTGATGGGAAATTGTAATTATTGCAGTTTTATCTTGTCATTCTGGCATTTTACAGCTCAGAGGATTTGCTGTCAAACTCAAGAAAAAGGTATCCGATTTGATGGAACAAACACAAAAACTTGAGGCTGAAAATCAAAAACTCAGCAATGACAAGGAAGAGCTGCAAAACAAGATACTACGTATGTCAGACAGTGCCAAAAAGTTGCAGGTAGGGTAATTTTATTTATAGCTATTTTTTCAAATGTGGATTTTTTGAAAATTTTGTACATGGTATTTTAAAAATCTACTATGACAGACCATTCAGACCCAGTATGACAAGTTGCAAGATGATGCGGAATTGATAAAAAATGAAAACAAAAGACTGATTAAGCGTTTTGAAACACTTGTTCTTGAAAATGATTCATTCAAAGATAGCATTATGAAAGAAAAAAAGCAAGTTGAACAAGTAACTGCTAAAATAACAAGCCTTACAGAAGAGAAAGTTAAATTAGAAAGCACTTGTGAACAGCTCGAAAAAAAAATTAAAGATTTAAATAGTGAGCTCAAAGCTGAATTGATGATTCGGCAGCAAATAACCAAAGAATATGAAGATTTGAAAAACTCATTGGAGGCCGAAGTTAAAGCTCACAAATCAACCAAGACCCGTTTGGATGACATGAAACATAATAAGACAAGCAATAATGTATTATCCTTAGAAGTAGCGAATTATGAAGTATTCACAGTTTTATAGCTTATTTTTTAATTAAAGTAAAAAAAAAATTTTAAGCTAATAAATATATTTATCTTACTAATACAGAAAAGTGTTGAAACCATTAAAGCAAAACTTGATGAAGAAGTAAACGAAAGGATTAAGTTGGAAGCAACAGTAAACCAACATTTAGAAACTATTGATGTTTTAAATGCCAGGGTATCAGAACTCCAAGATTCTTATGTAGCTAAATCAAATCGTGTTACTACACTTGAAGAAAAAAATCAAACTTTAGAATCAGAGGCACGTGAAGCCAAACTTGAAGTTTCCAAGGCCATAAATGAAAAAGAGTCTTATGCTAGAGAAGCTAGACGCTTAGAAACATCTAAAAGAGACTTGGAAGCTAAAGTCGAACTTTTGACTTCTGAAATGGCAAAGCTAGAGGAAGAAAATAGGTAATTATTACAATTTAAATATTTATATTACGATTATTAAACAAAAAAAAATCACAAAAATTTTTTAATGAAATACAGATCCCGAATAAAAACAGCTCAAACTCTTATTGATGAATTCAAACGTGAATGTTCTCGACTCAATTTAGCATTAGAAAATAGTAAACGAGAGACAAACACTTTGCAAGAGGAATTTGAAAGTTACAAATTGAGAGCACAAAGTGTTCTTTTAAAAACGAAACACGTTCCAAATAATGAATTGGAAGAGGAAGTCGAACATTATAAAAGAGAGATCATTCTATTAACTGAAAAGTGCGAGTTATATAAAGAGAAGACGGAATCTTTGATGAGAGAAATTGTGCTTTTAAGAGACGAAAGAAGTAGAGTAACTGCTTCTGAAGAAGAACTAATGGCGAAACTGTCCATTTTGAGGAAAGATTCGATCGCTCTCCTGGAAAAATATAAGAAGCAAGAAGCTGAAATGCAAAGATTGCAGATTAATCACGAAAAAACGGTCGATAACTTAAGAAGACAGAATGAGGTAACTTTTATTGAAAACAAAAACCAATTATGTTCATTAATATTAAATGTAAAACTGTAACTTCAGGAAGAAATGGCAAATCTGAAAAAAAGACACGATGAAGAAATTAAAAACATCAAGCTTGAAGCAACTTTGAATTCCGTAGCGCACTCTCAAACTGTGTCGGAAACTAGGTCCGCCAGTACAGTGGCAGCGTCAACGCCACCCCTTATTGAAAGGGAAGAATGCGAGGTAATTAATAAACGAGTATCCAATGTTACATTATTATTTATTTACTATTGAATCCATTGTTCGTTTTACGCAGGGTTCAGAAAGTACAGAATCGATACAGCTAGCAGCAAAGAACGTGGAACGCAGTCAAGGAAGAGCGATAGAACCGGAAGCTCCGATAACAGCTATGACGCCGTTAGATCAGTTGCTCGAGTTTCCGTTTGACGAGCATGAAGTGGTGACGCATGTGCCCAAAGACAGTCCCGAAGTGGCTGCATATAAAAATCGCGTGAAACACCTAACTGAGCTTCTGGCTGACGCCGAGAGAGATATTGCAAAACTTACTCAACTTAATCAGTTACTTAAAGAAGATATTCGTAGGCAAAAGCGCTACGTCGAGAGGGAAAAGGAGGCAGTGAACTTTGAGTATCTTAAAAACGTTGTTTTTAAGGTGAGTTGATCTTACTTGTACAGTAATTTAACCAAAATTCATAAATCTTTTTATACATTTTTTCTATTTTCTTTTTAGTTTGTAACGTTAGAAAATCGAGATGAGCGAAGTCGGCTAGTTCCAGTGCTCGATACAATACTTAAATTGACACCAGAAGAAACTCAGAAACTCAAGAAACTTACGAAATCATTGTAACTAAGGAGGTAAGCTTTCAAAAAATTTGTTTTACTCGGTTTTAGACGTTTTTACGTAAAAATAATTATCAACACTATTTAAATCGGCCTTATAGTCATACATATCAAAGTCATTATTTTGATTATCTAATTTTTAACAAACAACGTTGCTTTTGGCTACGTATTTCAAATCAAGCATACAACTAGTTGAATATTTGTGTTGGTAAAAACATCTGTTTATCTTTTTTGCGAAAAATGTCACTTTCTCATCTTTAAACAACTACAACAAGCTAATTGAATTGTAAATATGACATATATCTTTTTACTATAAGTGAAAAAGTGCAATTGCGGCTGTTGTAATTATTTGTCTTCTCTCGATTTGTAATAGATGTTACAGTATGTCAGTTACGTAGCATTAGTAAGAAACTAAAAAAGTAGTCTTTTTTTTCCATAAAGCAACGAAAAGAGTGTGATGTAGGAGAATTTTATTATGTACAATTGCATACATTGCATTGCATTTTGTGATCAAGAGTCAGTCTCTTCTCGTGATGTACTGATTCGACTTTGCATAAAGTATTTTATTTTTGGCTACAATAAAAAGCAATCATACAATACATATGAAAAAAATTAAGTGTTTGTTATACATTTCAAGTTTTCCTTGTTTGTTGCATTTTCAAGTAAATTTGCAATATTCGTCATGTTTGGTCAATGTTTTATCAGTATGCGTTTGCTTTTTTTTCTTCATATCGCAATCATATCGATTACGTCAATTACGACAGTGTTACAATCAATTAACTGTCATTTTGCCGGTAGGGGATCTCGAAAAAATATTTAAACTTCGAAACAAACGTAGATTTTAAAACGCGTCACCCAAGTACAACTTACGGTGCAATTGTAAACTTTTGGCACACACATAATTGATGCACGCATGTGCCGTTTCGCGTGATATTATTACATGCGTGTTGCTCATCATCTTACATGCGTGCCAGAATTTTTTATTTCTGTCTAGTCGATCTAGTTTTTCGTATATCGTTGATCGAAGAATATTTTTTTAACTAAAACTTTTCGTCAAACATGTAGAATCGTAAAGATAAGTGTGTTTCGATCCAATGTTTGCTTTCTCATTGTATCTGATTGTTAACTTTTTGAAATAATTCATGATTTTCCAATAAACAATCATTTGGTTGTAAAGTTGCACTTATACAATAGCTACTGTTTTCGGTGTTGTAGCAAAAGGGGCGATTATATTTGTTATTTTAAAATATCCTGCAAACTATACCATTATTTGATAGCGAAAAACATGAAAAAACAATAATATAGGTAAGAAAAATTGTTTTTAAAGTACAAGATACAACTCCAAAATAAGAATAAAAGGTTGATCCATCGCTCCTCACCCCCAAATGTTCTGCTCGATTATATATATGTACATGTAAATACGTAAAAAAGGGTAAAAAGGGTGTAAGTAGAAGATGACGACAAAAGAGCTAGAGAGGAGGGTACTTAAGTTTAAGTATCACGTTGTCGCATGCGCGGGTATCCTTGAACGATTTAAACCACCACCACTGTGTGTCCAAAAGTACACATCCATACAGCCTGCATATGCCAAGCACAGCAGAAAATTTCAGTAGTAACAGCTGAGCCGCCAGCGAAGCACAGTGCTTATATATTTTCGCGGCGGTTGTGCGGTGGTGGTGTGTATACTCACTGTCAAAACTACTCGGTTATCATATCAAGGAATTGAATTTCATCGATTCTGACGTGCTTGTAACTGCATACGTGAGTTGCTCTTTTCAACGTCGATCAACCCATCCGTAAGTATTACCTGTTAGTGTGTTTTTGCCGAATAACTTCTGTTATAGTTCCATTATACTTATAAAGTGGGGTGAACACTTTTTTTTGCCATTTTTGAAATAATTTATTATTTAAATTACCGCAACGCCCTTAGAGGAAGAGATAAGTGTACTTGGAACGGTTGATATGATTTTAATTTTAGCCAAAGCCGCTCTCTCTCTATGACTTTGAATTTTTTATTATCTCACAGTCGATAAAGTATTGGGGAAAAGGAATAAGTTCGTGACAGAAACGAGAAAGAGAAAGAACGAGCGTAGCACACACCCCTCCCCTCCTCGTTCGGGCCAGTGCTCAGAGAGAGGCACATATTTATACATATCGAAGAAACGCTTGATTTTTCTCTCTCGACTCCAAAATGCTGCAGACCCAGAGTGCGGAACAGTTCAAGTAGGTATATAAACTACACCTTTTCGTCACAGAGTATAATATTATTGTTCTTGGTCATGTACTTTGTGAATGGTATAATAATCGGCGAGCACGTTCTTTGATCTATATTTTAACTGATCCGGTCTGTATGTAGATTGGTGCCCAAGGTAATCAATGGAGGTATCGCTGGGATTATCGGGGTCTCGGTGGTCTTTCCGCTGGATCTTGTCAAAACGCGACTCCAAAATCAAGTGATCGGACCCAACGGCGAGAGGATGTACGCTTCCATGTGAGTCAACATTTTTCTTTTTGTTTATTATACTACTTGTCGGGCTCGCTCGACTATAATCCAATGGGGCTTAACTACATTACAAGCGATATTATTGAAAATTCGTGTGCTGTAAGTAAGTTTCGGTACCGTCCGCAGTTTAAAAATAGTTTTGTTTGTGTTACAAATTAAACTTAGCTGTGAGCTCAACTATTTTTGTTTGTTTACTTGTTTGATAATAAAAAAGTCTAATTTCGCGAAACCGTATTGTCAAATTCAAATTATTCGGAGCCAACGAATTATGTTTTTTGATGGGCAGCAATTTGAAATATTAATTCATCTTGTCGCGCTAGAAATTTACAAATGTGTACGTTGTGGTAAATTCATTGTACATCAGAAATAATTTGGCTGCAGTCCAAGACTTAAACACTGCGAGGCTCTTCCTAGAATACTTAAACGAATGTTTTTTTATAGAATGTATTTATCTGTGTACAGTGGTGATAAAATATGCTTGTTTCAGGTTTGACTGCTTTAAGAGAACTTACAGGGCTGAAGGCTACTTTGGGATGTACAAGGGCTCTGCCGTTAATATTCTCTTAATCACTCCAGAAAAGGCAATAAAACTTACTGCCAATGATACATTTAGGCACTATCTATCTACTGGTCCTGGGTATTTATTTATTCACTTATTATTAATACCAGCATGTAATAAAATTATAAGCAATGCTTAAGTGCTATTATGGAGACATTTAGAATTTATCATTTAAAGTGTAATATTTTCATTTGGAGCAATTTGTATGATCATAGCTGTTCCCTCAATTAATCGTCTCACTGTATTTATTTAGCGAGCAGCTGCCCCTGTTTCGCGAGATGGTAGCTGGTGGTTCAGCTGGAGCTTGTCAGATTGTTGTGACAACGCCAATGGAGTTGTTAAAAATTCAAATGCAAGATGCTGGCAGAGTAGCTGCCGCAGCTGCAGCCTCGGCAAAATGTTGTTTTTTTTTTTTTACATCTATTTCTTTTATTCATTACACTCTTTTTCTTTTTTTAATGTGTAATATCGTTGTATTTAGCTGGTGAAGGTCCACCACCAAAGAAAGCTTCCGCCCTTGCTTTGACACGCGAACTTTTGCAGAAGAGAGGAATCTTGGGATTGTACCAGGGCACGGGAGCCACTGCCCTTCGAGATATAACGTTCTCGGTTATTTATTTTCCTCTATTCGCGAGGTTGAATAACCTTGGTCCAAAACGTCCTGATGGTTCTTGTAAGTTGCCCTTATCGTGTACGTTTAATAAATTTTCTTTCACGACATTTATTTTGCATGATTTTGATTTACTTGCAGCTGTTTTTTGGTGCTCATTTTTATCGGGTTGTACTGCTGGTTCAGTGGCAGCGTTGAGTGTAAATCCATTTGATGTAGTTAAGACGAGACTTCAGGCAATCAATAAGGCGCCTGGTGAACCGACTTATGATGGTGTTATGGATTGCGTAAGGTAAGCATCAACTACTCTATTAAGCTGACATACTTTCATTTTATTTTAAATAAAATATTTGTATGATTCACTCAAATTAATTTGGAATGAATTAAACTATATCTCGTATTTGATTGCAGAAAAACATTGAAAAATGAAGGTCCTACGGCATTTTTCAAAGGCGGCGCTTGCAGGATGATTGTGATAGCACCGCTATTTGGAATTGCTCAAACTGTATATTACCTTGGAGTCGCTGAGAAACTTTTAGGACTCAAGTAAAGAGATGGCTTTACACTAATCAATAATTATGGGCGTCTGCCAACTTGCCTAAAAGCGTCCAATAGTCAATTGCTCAATAACAGATGACAATAATGTTACGAATTTAATTAAAATATTTATCATATACATATTATGTACGCTACATAGTCGTACAAAGAGAAAATAAGAGAGTAAAACCTTGTATCATGTCATAAGCACACAAGGAATATATAATTTTTCAAGGTAATCTTTTCTCTAGTTGAACGGATTAAAACGCACTATGTTTTTTGTGTGAAACATAAAAGCTGTTTTAAAGCATTGATGCTTGATGTATCTAAAAAAAACTACGATTAGATTACATCCTTCCAATTTTTCCAACCGTAAGTGACGGTGAAATCGTTAATTGTATTACGAAAAGAAAAAATGAGCATGCCTCATATTTTCAGGTCGTCTCGTTACTGGCTATCAAGCCAATGGTGTTAATGTCTGTATATGTATATTATAGTGTAAGCCATTGACAATTGTCAAATTGGTAATTGTGGTTTTATGTAACAGAAACGCTGAGCGTTATTGAATGTATTTTACCTCGACATATCTCCAGCTAATTTTTGTCTGATTTATTTTTGTGATTTATTTACGGTATGCCATGTATGTGCTCAGAAGTGCGTTTACTATGTACATTTTGATGTTTCTATACACCTTATATTGTTAATTAATAAGCTTACAGTATGCAAAGGATAAAAACGTGATTTTTTTTCAGCATTTCAAGTTAAGTTCCTATATTTTAAATGAAATGACAATATTTTCATCGTAACACTACGACTTTTTATTAAATTATAATTAATTATTACATGATTATTGTTGTTGTTAATTTTGTTATTATTGATTTTTATGTACAAAGAAACAACATTCCACCAAGAGTATTGTGTTTTTTAATTAATTTTTTAATTAACAACAACAAATAGATTTACAATTATGTATGGCAATACACTAGATATATTTACCAATATTTTCAAATTTACTTTTGTTTCATCTGTGAAACGTATCGTGCAGAAGCAGTAAAATAGTCCTAATGTCAAAGTCCTACAATTTAAATTGGAACAACGAAAATACTTCAAGTGGAGTAAATACTTACATGCTAAAAATACACAATGATCATAACAATAAAGACTGATCTCGATTTAATTTTTTTTTTTTTTTTTTTTTTTTTTCAACATTTTGGTACGGCAGAATTACAATATCAATTGTCCGGCACGTACATATGAACAAAATCTTTTTTTTTCTTCATTTTCATAATTATTTTTATTTATACGTAGACGCGACGAAATTAACAGGAATGTTTTTGCGCGACGAGTGTGTTTGCGCGTTCGCGTACGAGTTTATCTTTATTCGCGAATTTAATCGGTAAATCGACGGTTTACGTTACGACCAAAGAGTGCTGTGCGTATTTCCGGGATCAGCTGCTGGGCAATCAGTTCTAGTCTGCTCTCCAACGTGTTGACAATCTTTATACGCCCTGCAATGTTAAATAATAAAATTAATAATTTTGTTGACAGTGAGTAGAGATTTAATGAAAGGTTTTTAGAATTATAAGTCAATGAATCATTCACCTTTGGCAGCCAGTAGCTCAACACCACCACAGCCGTCAGGAGCCAAGAAGTTGTCCTGATCCATTTTTAGATTAACTTCTTTTTTGGAAGTATTTTTGTACTCTTGCTGAATACTTGGCATTAATGATTCAATCAACGCGTGATCTGCTTGTCTTGCTCTGATCGCTACATTAGATTCAAGTAACTGAAGCAAGTAATAGTTATTAAAACAATTTTTTCCCTTTTAGTTTATTGTAAGTAAACACATGTTATTTACAGTACCTGGTAAAGACCTTGAAGTATAAGGAGTTTCAAAATTTCAGCATATTTTCCTTGGTCTCTGCACACCTCACCTAGCCTCTTTCTAGCTTCATCCAGACAATTTCTCACGTGATCCTCACGAACTTTGAGCACTTTGAGACGGGCTTGATTTAGCATGTTAGATGATTGACTTTAAAGTAATATAACATGTCATTACATAAATATTGAAGTCAAAGAAATGCTGCAATTATTAAACACTCACATTTTCTTTTGCAACTCAACTTGCTTTTCTTTCTTTTCATAATACTCCATGATTTTGAGACGCTGCTGCTGCACCAATCTTCCCTTCTCAATGTTAAACTCTTCTTCAGCTTTGGCATCGATTTCTTCAGCTTTCTCATTGGCCTCCTGTTCGATGAAGGCCATCATATGCTTGATCTGGAATTCAAAATCATAACAATATGCAATATCATATTGGAATGACAATAGTACAGCTCCACCGGTTATGATAATCAAAGTGACAGCAAAACCCCCTCTCCTCATGTTGTTAAGAAAAATATCAAACTCCTAAATCATAAGAGAATCATCATTCATTTCAACATAAACATATTAAAAACTCAAGTAAATTCTCAGGAAAAATCGAATAAGCTACAACAATAAAACGTCTGTAGCTCCAATCCAACGATAGCTCGTCCGTTTGCATATGCAATCCTCATATTCATAACACGCAACAAAATTTCAGACGCGTAATAAGTACGCTACGTGCGATCGTAAAAAGGCAAACTCTGCCAAAAACTACGTATATTTCAGCAGCGATTGAGAGCTTTACCCACACAGCGACTCCACTTACCTGCTTCTGAACGTCAGCATCGCTGAGAGCCATGTTGCTTGTATAGGTGATGTGTTGCTGCTGTTGTCCTCGAAATAATCAGCCCAAAAGCTCTTCGACGCCCTTTGGATGTATCTTCTCTTGATTCAGCCGGAGTCTACGTGTCCCTCCAGGGAACACTGGGTTTTCAAAAATAGTCAACGCCCAAGTACTAGCAGCAACGACACCAGGAAGAAGCGTCGATATATATGTGTACTGTACACAAATCGAAGGCGAAAAGTTGTCTCGTGAGCGAGGACTCGTTTCTTCTGCTGCAGGCACCTTCTCCTCTTCGGTAGCTCACTCGATCGAGCTCGTGATCTTGACGTCTCGCTCTGACTCACGGTGCTCTATAGATGCGGGTGGCAGCTGTCTTTGTCGCGGGTGGATTATTGGACATGATCCGTCTGCTCCTCTCACATGACGATCACATGACCCGCGCGACGCGTGTATCAACGCCACCTGGCGCCTACTATATATACCATTGCCCATAAAGTGATCATTACCTTTGATTGATAACATTTAATTTACTTTGCATAATACCTACTTTATCAATAGTTGATCGTAGTGGCATTCTTCACTGTCGATACAGCTGACATGTCAAATATATTTGATGTTTAATCATTTCGTCAACCAAAGAGACTAACATGGATTGCTTCCATTTAAAAAAAAAAGAAATTCCACTCGTAAGATTGTCTGATGCATTTAACACACTTTTCAAGCAAATAAACATCTTCACTGATAATGCAAATGTAAAAACTATACTGCCACCAAAGAAGTCAAACCACGACTTTTCCGAACTTTTCACGCGCAATATATCAGTCGGTCCCGGCTGATCGGTCCTTTTCAGGACGGCCACAATTAATTGATCAAATCTTTTCAAACTGTTGTGAGACAACTTAAAATATGTGTTTCTCACAAGAAAAGCACGGAAACAAAAAAAGATGACACGCGCCTGAAAGTCATTCTCGCACCCATGTACAACAATACGCGACGCCGAAACTTCGATCAAAGTGGCGCACCCTCTTTATTTTTGCATGTGTACACGCACGCCTCATCATTTGTATTAATAAGTAATATTAAAACTGCTTGTATCGTGCACACACTGACGCTATTCATTTTTTGATCAAACTCCCTCGTAAAAGTTTACATCACCACAAAAAAAAGGGGTGTTGCAAGGGGTAGGTACATAGAAGCGGCGTTTTCGTTTTTTATTTAAACTGCCGGCACGCGAGGACGAGAGGGAGAACAGCTCCGATTCTCCGGTTGCGGTGCGCAGTATAATAGCATGTAAGTCGGCTCGACACACATCGTTCGGAGAGTAGGTGGCGAAGAAAAAGAAGAAAACGAAAGGAAAGAAAGAAGTCGAAGAAAAGGAGGTGGAGTGTAGGCGCGCACTGGGTGGACGTGCCGCAGCGGCAGCAGTTGGTCTTCGCTCGCCGACCGCCGTGGACGTCCGACCTGGTCCCCCCTTGTATCACGCGTTATACGATACTCCTCGCGGGCGAGCGAGTGCTGCGACGATCGTACTTCTTACACTAATGCCCGTTCGTCTTTAATCAACACGCAAAATACGTACGCGTATATCTACTCTGCCGCGACGTAATCATCAAACGTATTTTCCGTTCGGTATTTACTTTTTTTAAACAAAGTTACGTTCGAAGTGTCGGTGGTGCTGACTTTTTGAATAACGCTGCAGCTGCTCGATAAAAGAGAGCCAGGATGCCGGTTTTTCACACGAAAACCATCGAGAGCATCCTCGAGCCTGTCGCACAACAGGTAATGCCTCAATCGGATTACTCAATCTACCTACTTACTTGCCTAAGTGTTTTGGGACACAAGTTGTCGTGCGTAAATATGAACCACATAAGCTATAGCCATCCGATTGAGCAGCGAACGGAGCTTTCGGAGTTTAGGAACTCGTCTGATGCGATCTGCAATGTTTACACTATACTTACTCGCGCGACAGACGGACGCATGAGAGAGATTAAAGGAGAAAGAAATAGAATGCACTGACTTTGTACTTCTGCTACAAATTGCTCCGCTTTTTCGCACGCTTCAAAGTATATTATGTATAGGTATCGTTGATTCGAAACGAGGGATCGGTATACAAACTTACCACTGTGGTATACACATACATCGGCAAAGCAACTCTCGTAATCAGCTGATTGATGTGTGCGTATATACACGATATTAAAGGGGTGCAGCGCATATGGGGAATTTGCATCGGGCTTTTAATAAAGTAAAAAGAGGCCGAATAACCTATACTTGCGACTCCGTAATGTTGTCTGCATCACCGAGAGCCGAGCTCCCTCTTTCTCTGTTTGATCTCTCTCGTTTTCTCCCTGCATATGCCCATTCACATGTGCCAGTGGCACATCGCATGTATAAACCATGACATCATGCCTCTAATATCTCATCTATGCACCTCACTCTCTCTACTGTCTCAACACTACCCCTTTCCTCCCCCTTCACACAACCCATCGCCACTTGACGTGTATTCCAATACTTTTATCGTTGGGTTGATCGTCGCACGTGTGCCACGATAATTTAGTGTATACTTCTTTGGACAATGACCTTTTTCTGGTATGAGAGATGAAATTTTTAAGGGATGATACGTTTTTTGCGCGAGTAACATAACCTATAAATTATTTATTGTGTGTTTATTTGTCAAAGAATCTTAGCAAAGGAGTAAAGAATTGATTTATTTATTTTTGTTTAACACTACTATTCGGTTGACAGGAGAGTATATATTTTTGCCATTCGAAAATTAAGGAAGGTCTCTGCTATAACGAGGAATTGCTTGTAATTTATTCGTTGTTATTTATAATCGCGGTCAACGCTCCTCTTTTTTTTTTTACTCTGCTCGTAAAAAGTATGTAATAATAATCAGTCCAAAATCGTGATCATGAATCTAAAAATAACAGCGCTAACAAACGCTCGATGATTATTTTGAATTTATGAAAAGTATATAAACTCTTCGAAACCTTGTGTGGCTTTGCGTAACGAAAAATGTTTATAGTATTATTTGACGAAGAAAAACATAATCATGAAATTTTCTTTTTGTTTTTTTTTTGTTTTTTGCGACACCAAGTTACTCGAATGTGAAACACTCTCCAATATTAGACCTTGACAACTATCTGTATATATATACTTATTTCTAGTATTTAGTGAAAAGAGAAAAGTGATTAGTAAATGCAAAAAAAAAAGAAAAAAAAAGTTCGCGCGAACGTCGAGGAGCAAAAGGTATACAGTAGATTACAGAACAGAATAGAATAGAGAGAGAGAGGCAGTTTCCGAGCGCGCGCGTTTCTAAAAATGGTTATTCGGCATCATCGAGAGAGAAACACTCGCAGCTTCCCTCTTTCTCTCTCTCGCTCGCGCTAAAGCGTTTCGCAATTTTTCGTTCAAACGCTTGTATACCACGCGTGGTCCATACCCACGATGTATTAGCTGTATATTCTCTCTCGCGGGACTTGTCCGCAGCTGCCCGATTTTGCAAGCGGAGACACTTTTATCCCGTAAAACCGGTAAATCAATTATTTATCGATCTCCCCGCGTTATACACACCGAGCGCCAACCGATAGAGTACGAAAAAAATAAACATAGGTGCAGACTGATTGACGCTTTTAGAGAGTGACTAATGTGCGTCAGAACCTTTTTTTTTTTTTTTTTTATTTCTTGGCACGCGTGTTGAATATGGCCACACCCATCATCAGCCGAGCCGTAGGGCGAGAAGAAAATCGAAAATTCAGTAATTAGGTATACGCGGGCGCTACTCTCGGTATATATATATAATAGCGCCGAAGCGCGGGGGGGGCCTGTCTCTAAAAATACATGGGGTTAAAATAAGATGCCTTGGGGGTATATGAGTTGTCTACGCGTATTATATAGATAACTCAACTCTATAGGTGTATATATATATATACATGTAGGGAAAATCCGGTGTGACCGCACAGCGCCGGCACTTTTGCTAAAATGATGTTGCCGCGGATGATGATGGTAGTCGAAGCCAAAGCGACCGATTACACAATATCTCACGTTATATAGGTATACATATTATAGACACACGCACTTATAAAGACCAATAACCCAAGTCCCACGTGGCGGGTCTCCAAGGGTGTATATAATATTATCGATCGCGAGTCCTCTTGGGCCTTGTTGAACGCGCGCTCGTTTTCCGAATTCCATACAATATATGGGAAACCTCGAGATAACATATTTATGCGAAATAAAAAATCTCGTTGTGGAGACAATGAACGTTTTATTGTACACGCCAGCGAGGTGTTTATGTAGAGTTTGACAGCTTCAGCGTCGGTATTTCATATATACATTGCACACAGGAGTGTTTTTGTAGATATATATATGACTTGGGGAAAAGGTGACTGTTTTTTTGAATCCAACATTTGAAAAAAAGAAAAAAACATTTGTAATTTATGAGGGGAAATCGTGGATTTTAAAAATAACCCATAAATATATATATGTATATTTCGAGAGCAACGGGCGCGGGGGTCGATATGTGTGTCAAGTATATCAAAAGTTATGATTGCGCGTTTCGCGAAACCTAGACAAAAGGTCGAGTTGCTAAATTGTCAAAAATAGAAAAACGAGCCGCTAAGCTTTTAGAAGCGAAACGCGAGACGCGCGTCTTATTTACACGTGGCTTTCGGTTGCTTTTCAGAATAAATTTCTTACACGAACACGTACAGTTAGCTCGTGGGGCCCGGCATCGTTGGAACTGCTTCACAATACTAAAGATAAATAGAGATAAGATACGCGAGGCCATACAGTAGTACGCATTACTCACAAAACACACCTCGAAAAAGGAACAAAATAAAAGTAAAATGGGTTATTTTCAAGGTGTCGAGGCTGGTCATATTACACGAGGAGGCCGAAGATGGAAACGCCATGCCAGACTTGGAGAGGCCCGTCAAAGTCGTCAGCCAAGCAGTGGCCAATCTCGTCAAGGTATACCCATACGCATCCTCGTAACACCATTCCGCTACGTGTATGCAGTATATATTTATATACACGAGCCCGTGGAAAAATTCGATTCGGTTACCAATGATTCAAGTATCCGCCCGTATTGATCTCATTCTTTATTTTTCCTCTTCCTCGAAAAACTTCGAACCCACCAATACGGGGAAAAACGTAACAAAAACCTACAAGGTTGGCAAAGAGACGATCAATTCGTCGGACGACGCCCTGCTCAAGCAAGACATGCCCTCATCGCTGAAACGAGTCGAGGGTGCTTCACACTTGTTGGAGGAGGCCTCGGTCATGCTGAAGAACGACCCCTACTCCAGCTCCGCCAGGTAACCACATCACGTAATACCTATACTTGCTTCTGTCTTATATTCGAATTTTTACATCAATCGCGATTATAAAGTATTGAGTAAGAAAAAAAAAAAAACAAAAACAAAAAACAAAACAAATTTTCCATGGATTTTTGATTCTAACGTTTTATTGTGTATTTTTTATTTTTTATTTCTCCACCTCTCTATCGACTCTACTCTGCGAGTGCAGTAGAACGCACACTGTTTATGAGTATAAAATGACGTACAGGTACGATAGATCACGCGTAAGTTGTTATGCACCATAGCTCGTAAGGTTTTTCTCATATAACACCCTGCAAAACAAACAAAAACAAAGAACACAGTGACGCGTGATGCTTTCATGTGATACATGTGTATACTTAATCGTGTGAGTATACCTGACTAATTAAATGCTAAACACGTAACCGATCATTATCATCATCATTGCATGTGTTATTTGAAAAATGATTTTATTTTTTTACAAATTATGAGAAAAACAAGGTGTTTCGTACATTTTTGTTTTTCTAAAAAAAAAAGGGAAGCCGAAACAAGTATCATTACACCGAGCTCAAACCACGTGGAATAAAAATACACTTGTAACGCGTTGTAATTTAATTGGTATACGTGACAAAAACGCCGGTAAGTGTGTATACCTCGGCGCGATTAATTCTGTCGGCGTCTCCATCAGCAAGACAGTTCAAATTTCTCAATCGACCTTATTGATTTCGTAATAGTGTCTACTTACTTCCCGTTGTTATTTTTTTTTCCCCCTCACAAAACACGCTGTGTACATTATAATCCGTTTTTCACTTTTGAGTCACACAAATGATGATTGATCGTTTATCTGTTCGACTAACACTATAGTCCCGAGATTAAAGGAAAAATTTTAATTTCGCTCTTGAGACGCTTTTTGTTTTTTTTTAATTTCATAAACTCTACTACACATCATAATACAATGCATATCTGGTTTGATTGATGAATCTCACAATTAAAAATGTTTTTCGAGTGCGAGTGACGTTTAGTTTGCATAACGCGAGCAACCATCCCTGAGAAACGCATCGTTAAAAAAAAAAAAAAAAAAAAAAAAAAAAAAAAAAAAAAAAAAAAACAAACAAACAAACAAACTCACATTAAGCCGCGCATCAGCTAATTAATCGATCATCAGAGTACTGAAAAAAAAAGCACTGCCGCAGAGCAGCGAAGAACCGATAAAAAGCTCATCGGTGAACATACATGTATAAACATAACGCGTATGGAGTGAACCGCGCGTATCGAGCGAGAGTAACTAATTTAGCTGGGCTTGGGTATTTTTAGAAAAAAATTAATAGAAGGCTCGCGCGGCATTCTCCAAGGCACGAGCTCGCTGCTGCTGTGCTTCGACGAGAGCGAGGTCCGGAAAATAATACGCGAGTGCAAGCGCGTCCTCGACTACTTGGCCGTGGCCGAGGTCATCGAGACCATGGAGGACCTGGTGCACTTTTTGAAGAACCTCAGCCCGTGCCTGAGCAAAGTGTCCCGCGAGATCAGCGCCCGTGAAAAGGAGCTCACCCACCAGGTCCACAGGGAGATACTCGTCAGGTGCTTGGACCAGGTGGGTATATACTTGGGATATTTTCGGGTGATCTTGGGTCCCCCCCCCCCCCGTTCATTAGCCAACTGGAATCCCGACATCCGTGCCAAATTTTATTTGAAATTCCGCAACCATCAAAATACACTTATTTATGTATACTTTTAATAGTATTTTGATCAATGGTAGAACGAAGTGGGAAAAAAACAAATCTTAATTTCCGATTAATTCGATAATCAGGTGAAAACTCTGGCCCCGATCCTCATATGCTCGATGAAAATCTTCATACACATAATATCGAGCGGCGGCCGAGGTGCCGAGGAGGCGGCCGAGAATCGCAACTACCTCTCGGGCCGCATGTCCGAGGAGATAAACGAGATCATCCGCGTGCTCCAGTTGACGACTTACGACGAGGACGAGTGGGACGCGGATCAGTTGACGGTAAGATTGTGCTGAATGTACACGAATGCCGATGGTCGAACGAAATAAATGACAACGATCGATCGGTACGCAGCTGCTGAAGAAGGCCCAGAGCGCGATCGAGTCGCGCGTCAAGCCGGCCTTTGACTGGTTGGACAATGGGAACGCGCTCCGAGGTGGGGTGGGTGAGAAGAGCCTCAGGCAGATAATCGACCAGGCCGGTCGGCTGGCCGATCGGTACCTGCCACCCACGCAGGCCCAGCCGATCTCCAAGCTGGCGTCTCAGCTGACCACGATGACCGATGCCCTCTGCGAGCTCCGGCAGAACGACAAAGGTGCGCATTTCCATACCGATCTTGTGCCGATTTTTCGAGCTCGCTCGGTATTGACCATCGGTTTTTTTTGTTTTCATAGGAACATCGGCACAGGGCGAGGCGCTGGCCCGTGGTATCAAGGACAAGGTGAACGAGTTGCGCTCCAACATTGCCTCGGCGATCATCGACGCCGACAAGTCCGGGGGAATCCAGGCGGCTCACACGGTTGCCGGTAGGCTCGAGCAGGCCAACAAGTGGCTGCTCAATCCGCAGCACGACGACAAGGGCCTGGGCCGTAAGGCCATCGATCTCATCATACACGAGGGCAAGAAGGTATAGCTTTGACTTACACATTGCACTTACCGATCGTTACACTCGTGATAACGATTTCAACAGCTACTCGCATTATATCATTAATTTATATACGTATACTAACTTTCAAAAGTGTAATACAGAAAAATTTTGCTTTTTCTCTCTCTCCCTCTATCTGCTTCTTTTGCTTGCCTCTCGCTTGCTCTCATGCGCGTTTCCTGCGCATCGGGCGTACACGTGCGATTGACCATACCAATCTGCATGTGCGCGCGATAGAATCACGGGACCATAGCCGAAGTAAGTCATAGAAGAAGTATTGGCTGCGCCGAGGAAAAATATTTCTTGAATACTTATTGGTGTTTCATGATGGATTGTCTGTTGAACATTAGGGTAGTATGTTGCCACTGCTTTGTTGTTTTTTTCTTTTACTCACTATTAACACTAATTAAATTGATGTCTTTTAACAGCCATTTTTGAAAACTAAAATCATCAATGTTCGCCACGCAGACAATTAATTATGACATGGTACATGTATAACACTGACTGTGTACTTAATTCTCATCATCAGGTGCGTCGTATCTTGGGCTAATTTCAATAATATATGTGCCGGTTGATAAATTTCTCGTCCTGACGCACAAATTGGCTAATCTTAACGAAAAGTTGCGAAAATTTATTAGGTTTCTCGCGCCTGCATGTACGATATACATAATGATGCACTTATTTTACGACGGTGTCAACAAAAAAGTCTCGCACTTGTTTATAAACCGCATCTTCTAAGACTCAGAGCGCTGCCAAGTTCTCTAAAGTCCCAACGGCGTGGCTCTAAAATTAATCCAATCTCGGCCCTCTCGATCATAAAATCCAGAGAGCCCATAAGCTGTGCTTGCTCACGTGTACATAATTATGACTATCTTCTGATGGCCATCGCGCGCATTGACCTTCGTACGTAAAAATAACAAAGACACGACGCTCCGCACTGGTTTTTTCCTCGGTGCCAACGATAAGGATCCGATTGAAGAGAAACACATTTCTAAAGTACCTTTTTCATCCTCCCCCACCTGCTCCTCTCGGGGCGATGGTCAAACGAAACTCAGGTAGCGGAGGGCTTGCCCGGGATCCACAAGGCCGAGATACTCCAGCTTTGCGACGAAGTGGACAACCTGTCGCACCAGCTGGCCGACCTCTGCGCCAGGGGCGAGGGCAACGGGCCGCGAGCCCAGGAGATCGCCCGGCAGCTGTCGCAGAAGCTCCACGAGCTCAAGAACAAGATCCAACAGGCTGTCGTGTCGCGCGTCGTCGAGGACTTTATCGACATTACCACGCCCCTCAAGCAGTTCACCGAGGCGGTGCTCGCCCCCGAGGGCACGCCCGGCCGCGAGCAGAACTTCAACGACAAGACCCTCAATCTGCAGAACTTCTCCAACAGGGCGGCGAAAACCGCGAGGATGGTCGCTGCTGGTGGTGAGTGCTTTGGAACATTTTTCTTTCTCATTGGTTTGTTCGGCAATACTGGTCGAGTTAAGTTTTTTCTCGTGTTATTGAAAGCACTGCGAGTCGATCTCTCAACCATCATCGTTAAAGTAAGATTCTTCAGATAGCCGATTTTCTTTTAGTTTGTAAAATAATTATTGCGATTGCGGCGAGTTTTGCAAGTGAAAGTGTACGTGTATAAAGTCTGGCATGTTAATCAATCAAGGAATCCAAATCTTTCCTGACTAAAAAAAAAAGGTGCCCTACAATAAAATAAAGTAATTTGTATTCGCTAAACAGGAAGCGGTGGAAACAAAAAGCTGGCCGAGGCCCTGAACGCGACGGCTTCGCAGCTCGAGTCCCTGACGCCGCAGCTGATAAACGCGGGCAGGATCCGCATGACCTACCCGGAGAGCAAGGCCGCCGACGAGCACTTTGAGAACCTGCGCCAGCAGTACGCCGACACGATACAACGGGCCCGTAGCCTCTGCGACGAGGCGACCGACGGGGCGGACTTTGTCAAAGCCTCCGAGGAGGCGATGAAGAAGCACACGGTGCTCTGCGAGGACGCCATTGCCAAGCGCGATCCCCAGAAGATGGTCGACAACACCTCGGCCATCGCCAGACTGGCCAACCGGGTGATACTCGTCGCTAAGCAGGAGAGCGACAACAGCGAGGACCCGGCCTTCATACACAGGGTCAACCAGGCGGCTGACGTGCTGCAGAGCTGTAAGATGCTCCTTCTTTCCCTCATTTGCGTCTCATTTGCGTCATTTTCAATGCGTAATGGAAATCGAAATCGGATCAATTGTCAGGGTCCGCAGTGCGTCGACCCTTCTTGACTTTATCTTTCTATTGACTTGTGATGTATTCTCTCGGAAAATCGCCTTTTATTCCAACGGACCCTGGTGCCTGCACGCATCCCAATCATTACAGCAAAGTGCGGCAATGCGCAGCTGTAAACTGCAGAGGCGCAACAAGTACCATTAACTCGAGGGGGGGGGGCAACATCGACGCCGATGTGTAGTACTAGCGCTCGGTTATTGTTGTCGGGTTTGTCAATCTTGCGTCATTGAATCGGCGCATCCGCGACAGGAAAGAAAAAAAAACGGGAGCAAACAACCGATGTATGATAATATAATAACAATGTACACATCACCAAGCGCTCGGTTGCAAGGTCCCGCCGTCCGGCGAGCAAGTGAAACGTGGATCGATAAATCGGGGAGAGGAAAAAAAAGCGCACTAAAAAATATGACACGCCGCGGTGCATACAATGACAGCAGCAGCTGGTGTATAATAGAGCATCTCCGTTTCCTCCTACAGGCGTGGCTCCAATGGTCCAGGACGCCAAGGCCGTGGCTATGAACATTAACGACGGCTCGGCCATATCGCGCTGGCGCGACAGCAATCGAGCGGTAAGCCAATATGCGTACACTCGAAACACTGCACGTATTACATGTCATCACTATAATTACATGTATCCGATGCAACATGAATAATATGTTGTGTCGTTTTCGATTTACTTGGCTGAATGTATCGCGTTCTGTTGGCTGCAGTTACTGTCAGGTGTCGGCCAGGTGAGAAAGGCCATCACAGTCGAGCCGGAGGGCCGAGGCACCCCGATACCACCGCCCCCGCCTAGTCTGGCGAATCTGCGCATCCAGGACGGAGGTTTGTACTTTTGGGATATTACCTTATTTATTACGGTCGGCTGATTTTTAACGAGTGGCAACGAACCGAAGTTTCAAGCTGACAGTGATTTTTATTTTTGTTTTTTTACTAAATGACTTGTTTATATCAGGAGAGGGCGCCGATCGAGAACAAAAGAAACAGATATACCAAGACGATCTTAAACCCGGTGTCGGTAGAAAGAGTAGAGGTAATTCGGCAAATTTGTCGTTGTCCTCGTTGATGCACGGCGTGTGCTGGAGTTTTATGAGTAACGCATGAGATGAATCGTAATTTTCAAAATTTCGTAAAAAAAAAAAAAGATAAATTGGTATTAACACCTTTAATAATCGGTATTAAAATCTATTTCAATATTTGCATAATAATCATTAATATAGACTTGGAGCACACTATTATAGTCACAATATACGCCTTTTGCTTAACTAACTCGACTACATATGTTTTTCAACGTCGGCAAATAACAAAACTTGGCAAACAATAACCACACGTCGTCCCGTTAAAACTAAAAAAATACATTAAAAAGCATCATTTCCATACGCGTTAGCTTCAAATAGATAATACATGTGTCAGTGGCTCTATGTGCTCTATCGTCCATCAGTGATCGAGTGTGACCGTGATTGTGGGAAAACAAAGAGAACGAGTTGTACATTTCCGTTGGTATAACGTGCAGAAAATAATAAAACGACTTTTCCTCGACAGAAATGGCTCCACCGCGTCCGCCACTACCGTGTGGAGAGGTACCGCCACCGAGACCACCGCCACCCGAAACCGACGACGAGGACGAGATGTTCATGCACGCGCCTCAACCGAATCAGCCCATAATGGCAAGTTTAATCACAATTACTTGATTTTTTTTTTTTTTTTCAATTAGACGTGCTTTCTCACTGTGTAACTTGAACGGTCTAATTCGCGCAGATGGCAGCTCACGGACTGCACCAGGAGGTCAAACAGTGGTCCAGCAAGGACAACGAGATCATCGCCGCGGCCAAGAAAATGGCCATTCTCATGGGCAGACTGTCCGGTCTGGTGCGGGGCGAGGGTGGCAACAAGCGCGATCTCATTGCTTGCGCCAAGGCCATCGCCGAGGCTTCGCAGGAGGTCACGCGACTCGCCAAGGAACTCGCGAGGGAGTGCACCGACAAGCGTATTCGTACGGTCAGTGCATTTTTTTTTTTTTTATTCCGTTTGATCTCCACGTGGTTGATGAAAATTTTTTATTGTCACCACAGAATCTCCTTCAAGTTTGCGAACGTATCCCAACCATCGGGACGCAGCTCAAAATCTTGTCGACCGTCAAGGCAACGATGCTCGGTGCTCAGGGTACGTATATTGTTTATCTTTAATTCACATGGAAAATAATTAATTAGCGTGTATATAAGCGCTCGATATCGCATAATCAAGCTTTTTGCTGAATAATAAATCATCCATCACTAACTTACTAACAAAATGTCATTGGTTTCTCTGTGCTTAGAAACGCTCCCCACCTGGGAAGAGCTGATGCTATACGGTAAAGGCCAGCTGCATACCACACAACGTTGTACAATACACGTTTCATTGCGTATTTTGCCATTATTTTCATTCCATTACGTTTGAAACTCGTATACTAGCTGCAAATTATGGTTGTGAAGTTGAAAATGATTACGTTTATAGCTCAACAGTTAGTGACATCTTTATGATTGCAGTTTGTATGTGCATGGAAATTCAAAAGCAAAAGTAAAGTTTTAAAAAGTAAAAATTTCCAATAGCATAAGAATTGCTGAATAAGTTTTCAGTGATTCTAGTATTTCACAATTCATTATGTGTCAATGAACAAAAGACATTTACTGCAATTTCAGAACAACACTATCTTTAGTATAGAATAGCTTGGAGTTGTATGCATGAAAGAAGTAGCTTATTTACTTGTAATAAATTGAATCCTCAGCATTTGATATGAATTGACGTATTACTTCAACGATGACGCATACAATAACTTTTTTTACATACAACTATTTGTATACACGTAACAGTTCTTCACCTAGTAGAAACAAAAGTATGGCTTGTCCAGCAAAAACAAAAACCATTCCTTCATCATTACCTATTAATTTTAAACGCCTAGAGAATATTTGCACGCAGAAAGTAATAGTTGTCTCAAACATTCTATTCGCAAAAAAATTAAAGTTTCTTACAAAGGGGCTTTTGTTATCCTACAATTTAAAAAACTTGCATGGGAAAAAACCGTATTTCGCAATTATAAACTATTCAATAAAACTCTCCTTAAATTAAATCTTATGAAAATGGTGTACTAATTTGATTCTGGAAAAAAATACTACAGGCACAGAGGAGGACCAAGAAGCGACGGACATGCTGGTGGGCAATGCCCAGAACCTCATGCAGAGTGTCAAGGAGACAGTCCGAGCGGCCGAATGCGCGAGCATCAAGATCCGAACAGCCTCGGGGATAAAACTGCGCTGGGTGCGCAAGCATCCTTGGTACCAGTATTAAATGAAAAAACGATAGTCAAAGACGAAAGAAAAAATCATCGACAACAACAAAGACTACATTGTCATTTTCAGCCATTGTGTCTCCCTTATATTCCCTCCTCTGATGCGTGCGTCGTGTTTTGTCCTCGAGTAATTCTCATATTTTTTCATGCCATATTAAAGATATAACGATGATTTAGATAATTGTCTAGGATGTAACGACGAGTTTCCCACTTAATTAAATTCTATTCTTTTTTCTCTCTTTTTTTTTTCTATCTTTTGCTTGAGTGAATGAGATAGTCGGACCCTTCTTTTTTGACCACGAAATCGGGTTGATCGAGCTTCTTTAGAGAAATAATTGATGTGTGCATTTTAGATCACAAACTGTTTTATAAAAAAAAAAAAAAAAAAAGGCCTGTAGTAGGCTTGGTGAAATAGGATTATTAGATTTAGCTTGTTAATTAATAATCGTGCATTAATTAAAATCAAGACATAAAAGTATGTAATTAGATTTGTAAAAAATTTTAACAGAATCGTGGTGCACTAATATTAAGAACTAATTTTATGGTCCACCACCACTGATGCCCAACTTGGTTTATAAATTTTTATGAATTTCTTGACTAATTGTATAAATTTGTACTAATGCGTGTAATAATAAAAGGTACACGAACCTTGCGAAGCTTTTTACAAGTAGTATAAAACACGCGTCACAGTGCCGAAAGTAACAGTACCTTTGTGTATAAGCACACAGGCGTGTGTCCTGTATTTTAGAAATAAGGTGCAATAAAAATGACCATATGTAGAGAGAGACAAAAAGATTTGTATTCCCGAGGCCGCTATTTTTTATATAATAAAAAAAATGTGCAAAGAAGTGCATGAAGGCAACTCAGTGTAATCGACTTTATTTATTTTTGTATATCTCACGAGAGAAATGTGCAATATATAACGATGGAAAGTCGACAGAGTCCATATTTTAGGTCACATAATAAGCCTTCCCAAAAAGTAGACAAAAAGCTATATATATATATGGTGCTAATGGTATTTTAGTACTAAATCGGTTGTTAGGTATACCAGAATTCGAAGCATAGATAATCGCAGAGACGTGTACTAGTTTTGTAATCGAGCTTGCTGTGCAAATAAGAGCCTTCCGTCTACTTACAATTATTGACCAATAAAAAATATCCATCCTTTTACAGATCGGACTGGAATGTTTTTGAACGTGATTTTTCTATTTATTGTTTATCAAGAAAAAACTACATATATTGTATAACCCATGATTTATATTTGTAATGTAATAAACCGTTTCAATAAATTAAACTCGACTTTATTCATCTATTGTGTTTTCACTTCATTAAGAGTATAAAAACTGTACAATAATCACATGTTTTTTTTTTTTTTTAATTATTTAAAGTATAAAAATACGCACGTTAGAAAATTTTGATGAAACAGTTTTGCAAAAAGTTTTTTTTAACTTATTTTACCTTGATCATATGTATAAATACACTGACACTTATTTTTCATCAAAGTTTTCCTTGACTCATTAGCTATTTAATTTTTATGTCAAGAACTTAATGCACCACTTTCAGACTTGATGGGTACCTTATTTTTTGGCATCTTACCTGGCCTTAGGTAAGGATTATCAATAACATCTGATTGAGTATTTGTCTCCTCATTTTGTTCAGTCTCTTCTTTTGGGACAACAATTCCTACAAAACATCTTCAAGTAAATAAAAGAAAATTACACAATGCTTGATCAAAATATATGTAATAAGTTACCTTCTTTGTTCCCATCCTTACTTTCAGGTTCGTTTTCTTTTTTCTTTTTAATAGGACTACCTTCCGCGTCGCTATCTGAATCAAAAATTTGATCCTGTGGCAGTAAAGCTGAAAGGTAGCTCGGAAATTGTGGAGAAGTACCTATCACTGAAAAAGATAAGATTGAATGTCAGAAGAAAAAACAAACCAACTAGTTTAAGGTGAAACATTAAAGTAGAATCTGGTACTTTGCTTACATGGAAACATGCTGTTATCATCTTTGAGGAACAAGGTATGTGTCTTGCCAGTCTTTGCTGTGAATCTGGTCAAAGCCCTTTCAATATCCCTCTTCTGGGAAGCAGCTTTTTCTCTAATTGCTTCGTATTCAGTCACAGGTTGCTTATGCGTCTACAAACACCAATAATTGTTAATTAGTAAAAAGCACAGCACAGGTTCCTTCATTTCACTTGTAATAATAAAGTGTTTTCTCACCGGTGTCCTAATATAAGCATGAGGATCTGGCAGTGGCGGCAAGTAGCTCGGAATGTGAGGAGGATGGTTTTGCTTGACTCCAGCTTGCAGGATGCTCAACTGTTTGGTTTGTGTTTGCTGCTGAAGAGGAGGTAAGATCGTCCTGTTGGGACGAAGCCCGTAACTCCAAAGATTGTCAATTTTGATGCCTGAGTTCACTAGAGCTAGTATGACATCTGCTATGAGGATTTCTGTCCTGCTGGAGAGTTCGCAATAATTCCTGGCTGACTGACCGATCTCACACAACACTGGAAAGAGTAAAAAAAAAATAGTCCTCAGTACGAGTGATTGTTGATAATAGTATTGTTGACTGCGACCTGCAGTGCACAGATTACGGACATGACTGCAACATTTCCGTAAGAGTTTCCAGGACGGCTCGCTCGCAGTAGTCGAAGCCGCACTCGATTATAATGTTGCAAATCGCTTGGCTCAATATTTTTCTTCTTGTATTCGTTGTTTGAACGTCCATTTCTTCACTATTTGTTTTGATTCTAGCGGTTTAACTGCAATGTATGTACAACGACGGCGGCGATCGGCCATCAGCTGATATTTGTTTTTTACATATGTTATTTGTATACCTATATGCCAGTAAGCCAGGGTCCCTTAGTCGGCTTATAGTTTTAGTCCCTAATGTTCAATGTACAATGAACTAGAATGAACGCTATCTAGTGTTGATATTTTCTCAGTCCAGGCCGAGTTAAAATCTAGGGACTCGCTCATGAAAAAACACTAGAAAAAAATCACTAGATCAGATGAGGGAAAACACTAGGTTTTAGTTTTTCGTAACAGCGTCATCTAGCGTTAATATTTTCTCAGCCCATATAGCGATAGCGAGCTGAAATCTAGTGACTTTTTTCTAGTGTTTTTTCGTAAGCGAGTCCCTAGATTTTAACTCGGTCTGGGCTGCAAAAATATCAACGCTAGATGGCGCTGATGCACTTAGATTTTCGTATAGGTATAGTAATCGTAATTCGGACTCAATCGGAGGGAATAAACAAGTGAAAAATGCGTTGATCAATTAATTTATCCAACTGCAAGTTTAAAGTTTTATACAATTGGAGATTGTTTCATTTCATTGTAGTTAATAAACTGTACGAAGGCAAAATTCTTCTCGATTTAAGAAGTAAGTGCATATTAAAAAAAAAACGCAGTCCTTAAAAAAAAATTAACTAGTTTCAAGTGTGTAGATCGAAATAATAAAAATAAAAGGACAGCTGTGCGTTATTTCTTAAACATGCCGTCGAGAAGTTTCATAAAAAGGTAAACAACTTTTAAACACATTTTACGTATGCAACATGATGAGCGAAGCTGCACAACAATAAACTGAGACTCGCGTGTGGCGACAGTGTAATTCTGTAAAGTTCAGTGACCTGAAATTTTCGTTGTTTCCAATATAAACGATTAATACAAATGGCTGTGATTTACATTGCAACGAATGTACAATCTCACATTTCTTTGAAGTACGTTATACTAGCAAAAAGTGAATTCCATTAGTTATACTGCATGATAGTTTAGACTTCTTGATACTCCTAAATCTCCAGATGTATATCGTTTGAATCAATACTTATTTTTGATTGAGGAAGAAAGTTTTTTTGAAATGCGCGCTAAATGTGTGTGTGCATGCATGGCTGCTGTGTGTGTGTGTGTGTGTGTCAAATGTCATATATTGTACGGAGCAGACGACACTTTGTTTTTGTGTAGTCTGTCATTTCTCCGCGGAAGTTTATACTTGGAGGGGTTTTCAAGGTTAGGGATGAGCTTCATCTTTAGTTTTTTCAAAAATGTCTTTTTAAGAATGTTACAACTCATTTGGTTTGGAAAAAAGAAAATTGATAATTCGCTAAGCATTTACGTAAAAACCAATACTGGTAATACATTGGCTGTCGATTTGGATCCGAAATGGGATATACGAAATGTGAAAGAAATCGTCGCTCCCAAGATGGGCATCTCACCAGACGACATAAAAATCATTTTCGCTGGAAAAGAGCTCCACAATTCCACGGTAATTGAGGTAAAAGTACTTTTGAGTACCCTTGTTTCATTATTAAGTTTGTACGAAGTAAAACTGTCTTGACCAGAAGGTATTACGTTACAGGAATGTGACTTGGGTCAGCAGAGTATTTTGCACGCAGTTCGCACTCCGAGGCGTTTAGATATAAACAATGTCTCCAAAAATACGATAAAGGAGTCGACATCTGAATCTGACTTGGATGAAAGCTCTGGTAGCAAACCTATGAATGAGACACTCTCAGATTTGTCACTGGATGAATTCACGACAAAAGAAACAAAAGTGGTAAACATCTCGAATTTAATAACTCGTATCTATTAGTTATTGGAAACTGTAGTAATACTGGGACTTTCCAAATGAATAGGAAGGCACACAGAGCAGTAAAGCTCACTTTTACGTATACTGCTCGAATCCCTGCACAAAGGTTCAAGTTGGTAAACTGAGGGTCCGCTGTGCAGATTGTAAGAGTGGAGCTGTCACTGTAGATAGAGATCCTCAATCTTGGCCAGATGTTTTGTTACCTAAAAGAATTACAGTAAATTGCGAGAACCAATTTTGTGAAAATTTAGTTTCACCTGATGGAGATACTGAGTCACAAGTTCACTATGCTCGATTTTTTTTCAAATGTGCAAATCATATAAGCTTGGGAGAAACTGATGAAGCTGTTCCATTAAATTTAATTAAACCTAATCTTGCTAAAATTCCTTGTTTGGCTTGTACTGATGTTAAGTATGTGTACCCCTGACAATAATTTGATTTTATTGTTTCAAAGAAATTTTCTACCAAGTAATTGTTTCAGGGATACAGTTTTAGTATTTCCATGTGAAGCTGGACACGTCACTTGTTTAGATTGCTTTTGCAATTATTGCTTAGTTCGTTTACAAGAACGCCAATTTCTTTTTGATGATAAAACCGGATATTACACTCTGTCGTGTCCAGCAGGTTGTGAAAATTCTTGCATTCGTGAAATTCATCACTTTCGTCTTTTAACAACTGAACAGGTTCTTAAATTTTAACATCGAATCAATAACTGTTTCATTTTTTCTTTAAAAAAAAAACAGTTTTTTTATTTTTTTTTATTTTTACACGTGTTTTTTTTTTAGTACGATCGTTATCAACTTTTCGGAACAGAAGAGTATGTCTTAAAATCTGGAGGATTGTTATGTCCTCAGCCTGATTGTGGAATGGGTATTATTCCACCTAGTTCTGATAGTGGAGCAAGTGAAGAAGAATGTCGGAAAATTCAATGTATTGGAGGTTGTGGAGTGAGTATTATGTACTTACAAACTTTAATATACTTCCAACACGTAAAAATTGTATTGTAAACAAAAAATCCCCCCCCCCCCAGTATGTTTTTTGCAGAAAATGCTTGCAAGGTTTTCATCTTGGTGACTGTGAAAACCAGCCCACCTCATCAAATTTTAATACTAGTCATGGCAGTTACGTAGTGGACCCTTTAAAGGCTAACGATGTCAGTTAAATTTAATGCACGTATGATATATCTTTACCATAAGAGTATAGTTATTCAATCGCAATTTGTTTCAACAGGCCAAGTGGGACGAGGCTAGTAAAAAGACGATAAAAGTATCAACAAAGCCTTGCCCAAAGTGTCGAACCCCAACGGAACGAGACGGTACGTAAATCATATATATTCCAATATTTTGTTAGCAAAGACTCGTAAAAAACAAAATTTTATCTCACGATGTAAAAAAAGAGCAGCTATGATCAAAAAACGTATTTTTATACCCCAATGGTTGTTACCGCACTATTAAGAATTCACTTGAAGAAAAAAAAATTTGCCGCTCAACGAAGCACAAAAAGCTCAAGTCCTTTTGAAAACGGCTCCAACCTACATTACTTCCCCTGCAACCAGAAGCCTTTTGAACCAAGTCAGCGAGACGTGTTTTGCGCCAACATTCAAGCCCCGCGCGTACATATACTCATTGCGTTGTCCACAGGTGGCTGCATGCACATGATCTGCACGCGAGCAGGTTGCGGCTTTCAGTGGTGCTGGGTGTGCCAAGCACCCTGGACTCGCGACTGCATGGGTAACCACTGGTTCGGATGATTTGGCGAATCACTAAAGGGCCACACTACGCAGATTGGTAGGTCGCTGTTGTTGTTGTTGTTACTGTTGTTGGCGAGAGAGACAGAGTTCGGTGGGTTTTTATATACGTGGTTGAATATTTTTTCTAGACGAACTTACACGTATTTTTACAAATGTACACATTTACATACATACGTATTTCAATGCAAATATTTATATTTGCGATAATGAGTTGAGGTGTACTTACAATATATTTATTAACAGCATATTTGAATTTTAGATCGAATAAAAATTTTTACACGGATAAGTTTACGTAATATTGTTGCTGTTTATTCATTCATTTATTTACTTATTTTTAAACACGTGTTGGGATCGAAAATTTTGTTTAACTGTACTTTCAAATGTAAATACATTTTTCATTAGTAGGTATCTTAATATTACAATGTAATTTGTAGACTGTAGAATAATGTAAAATTGCGCTATATTTTTCCTATTTTCCATTAAATTAAAATGTTAATCATGAAAAACATTACCGTTGAAAGTGTGAAACTTACTTAACATATAAAATCAAATTAAAAAAAAAAAAAAAAACACGCAGGTCTTTTTAATCCTCTATCCTTCGCCCAACCCATTACCAATTCACGAGAGCGAAAAACTAGCGCGTGTACAACCTCCCTGGCCTTTTCTCCCTCCTCTTTCCAATATCAACTACGTCCTCGAGGTAAAAATCAATCTGACGCCGACCCCCTTTGGCCCTCGACTGCTATGGAATGCATTGCACAGCCGTTGCCGTCGTCGTCTGGAGAAAAGTTTTTCTCATTATAAAAGCCTATGCTCTCAGTAGCGACTACAGTGACAAGGAAAACGGAAAAACAAACTGTTTTATTTTCCTTGCACCACTGAAAAGATACAGGCGTTATCCGGATTTGCTAGCATTCGAGAAAAAAATAGCCAGCAGACACAATGATTTGTCGTTGCAAAATTTGTCGTCAGTATACAAAAGTGAAGCCAATTTTTAAAGCTGGTATCCCTACAGGAAAGGATTAGTTATCACGTACAACGTGTTTGATTATTTTTATTTTATTTTATTTTATTTCAAGCAAGCTTTTTTCGTGTTTCTCTCTCGATCGACGAGTGGCTTTTTGTTAACAATTTAACATAACACCCATCCAAAGATAGGCATAGCTATAGCCAGGGTATAATATAGCTAATTTTAATCAATAAGGAGTTAATTGTCTAGTTTTTAATTCTTTAGATTTCCATAGCTCTCTGTCAGTGGATCTGTGTAATTAGTTAACATAAATAAAACTAACGAAATGTTCGATCGAAATTCGTCCGATCAACGTCATTATCTCCATTCCCAAGTTGTCTACAGAAAATCTAGGTACGAAATCAAAGTTACCCGCAGATATATATGACGACCAAACTTTGAATAAACACACAGAGGCGTTTTGTCGCAAAAGCTCTGTCTGTTGTATATTATTCGATCCAACAGCGCCTCGGGCACATGTACGTGCAGGCCTGGAGATCGAGGGGTAAATTAGCCGGACAAACATTTTCCATCAGCGAAGGAGCGTAGAAAAGGAAAGACGGGAGTAATTGTAAATTTCCGGCTGGACGAAAGCTCTGTCTCTTCCCCATTTCGCTTTGTATTACCTACAATATACTCGGACTGGACAGCCCATCAGCCGAATACGGGCACCTGCCCTACCCATCACCTTCGCGTCCGAAGCGTCATCATGTATACACTCCATCGTTATAAAGTACAAGAATATATTTTTCAATCAACAATATAAAATTGGTTTTTTTTTTTTTTTCAATAAAACATACTATTTATAAACAAGGAAGCTTGCGTGTTGTATATTTTAAGTAAAATTTGAGTAGCCAAACGCTTTCTTTTCATCTTATGACGAGAGCTTATTGACTTAATGCTTAAATACTTTTGATTTTTTCTTATGCAATTGGTGTGCATATCAATATATACATCTACTGCAGTCACATGCGTTTTGCATCAGTATTTTATTTTTTTATTTTTTTGTAAATTCTACTTTGCCTAAGTAATCACGAGGAAAATACGTATGGCTTATGGTCGAGTCACGTTATTTTTTGCTCCCTCATCCTGTCAACAGTTTCATAAAAAATAAAAAATATCCGTTGTAAATAACTTTTTAGGTATTAAAGCCACTCTGTACTAAAAATTAGACAGTAGCTAAATATACGTGTACAATATGCGCACATGTAGTTTTATGATTAAATTAAAATTTACGCCGCATACCTGCTGTGAATACACGCGAGTGAGTAAAACGTGAAAGAGCAGAATGTTTATTAAGTATATAGTACCACCATACGCAGGCCACAATTTCGAATTATACAGTTACATACGGACTGAGTGCGGGTGAAAATTTTGTTTAATTAACTGTTATTTCAAACACGCAATTTTCCTAAATTTGGCTGAGCTTAAGTTTAAGACACAAATTCAATTTCGTATTTATGAGAGATCGGAAAACTCATGGATTGGTTTAACCAACGTTTTCGGAACTAGTGGCCCTGAAAAGGACCGATTCATTGTGGTTGCGTCAGAAACCGAAGCAAATCCTTATCTCTTGAGAGTGTATACCACATTGAGGGTTCACCTCATAAATGTTTGATTGTATGAGGTGATGAGAACCAATATCATTTTTATGTTTCAGCCCAGCAGGCGTTCACATACTGCACTCGAAACTTACGTTACATTTCGAATTTACTAGCGCGGGGTTGATTTTTCTAACAAACTTTGCAACGAGAGGCATTTGATTAGGTTTTTACGTAATTCACGACACCATATCTGGGTACTTCAATACTTGAAAAAGAGAAAAAAAAGTATCCTCTCGAAAGAATTAATTTGCATGGGCGATCTTTTGTTCGTCCTTCGAGTTAGATCCACCACGCAAAAGGAGCAAAGGAGTTTTTCATGCTATAACGCACGGCAAGGGAAGCACTTCAAAAGAGCTCGAGCCAGGCGAGTGTAAAAAATCGCCCACCTCCCTTGTGTGCCGTACATGCAGGTGAAGGGTATACATGGTAAGGCACGCATACACCTGCAGGGAAATTTCCACGTCGTAAGTGTATGGGGGAAAATGAGCAGAGTCGCTGGAAAAGTTTTTCTCCCGAGCTTGCAAGCTCGCCTCGCCGCGACCTCGTTTTTGGACGAAACGTCGACGTCTGTCCGATGTTCTCTTTTTGTTGGTTTTGCGGTTTTCGTCGCTAGGACAGTTGTATCACTACTTTTCCGAGCCACTGTTTAATCTCCCCCCCCCCCCTTGCGCTTTTCTGAAACTTTACACGCTACGTTATTAGACACAGCGTCGATCAATCGTGTTGCCAGAATCTTTATAGTTTTAAGCAGAAATTGGTTGCTTTTCGTTGAAATCACGTCTTCTGTCTCTTTTTTTTTTCAGAGAGTCAAACCAATCTATCGTGAGATCTGAGCAGCTCGATTTATCGGTCGTGAGATAAGCTTCGTCAGGTGTACGTGGAGCATTTATTGACACGTAAATTCCAATGTTTTATTATTATCAGGCGACAAACCTTTCATTTGTCAACAAAATCGTGAATATGAAAAAAAGAAGAAAAAATCCAAGTTTCGATCAACGCGCCAAATCTAAAGCGTAAGAACGTGTGATCTCGCAATAATACCCCGAAAAAAAAGTCTTCAGGTACGAAGAAATTCGAGAACCCGTGTGCGAAGGCGCGAGCCTTGAGGATTCCTCTATATTCATTGCGCCGGATCGATTGACACCCATAGCGTCGAAATCCACACCTATACGTACTCGCAAGAAGTGCAGCGGACCAAAAAGAGAGCAGAGAATCGTTTTACATACACTTATTCCTACAGAAAAGCTCTTTCGCACATATAAGTGCGAAAGAAAGGAAGGTCGAATCGAAGCTTAGCGCGGAAAAAACAGGGGGTGCGAAGAAAGATAAGAGTACGCGCAGGTGTGTGGAGGAGAGACCAATAGAGGCGGAAGGGAAGGGAACCATATACCTACTATACCGGGGGAGGCGTATATCTATATAGAAACAGAGTAGTTTGGCAACATGTTTCCTTGGAGGCAAAGGGAGACGCCCGAGAGCGGGCGCGCGCGCGCTAGCGGGGCTATGTATACGGTCTATAGGGTTTAGGCAAAGAGGGACACACGGCGACGGGAGGAGAAAAGGGTGGAGACCGATGGGCGAATTCGAATTCAGGAGGAGTATAGAGATCGGGGTCGTGCGAACGCTTTAGTTTGGGTTTAGTTTAGTAACCATACGTATACATGTAGTTCCTATCTGCTACTTTTGCCGGTAAAGAGCGTCAATGGAAAAATTTAGATTAATGATTCGCTAAGTTGGGGATAAGCGTAATAAATTGCCCGTGGCCGCGGAGATTTCTGCGCTGATTTTCCGGGGGTTCGAGGCTGTGGATACGTTATTATCGCGGTGCGGAATATAAAAGTAGGATAAGAATCTTCAGCTAGAAGATTTATTTATTATTTTTTTTTTTTTTATTCGTTGGTATACGCACGCACGTGCTGGGTACATCGAGAGAATTTTTTTTTTTTTTAACAAAAAAAAAAGAAATAGTACATCCACGTGACTTTAGTTTCAACACGCGTCCTTTACGAGGCGAGACGATGAAGGGGATTTTTTTTTGCCAATTTGAATTGGTTTTTTATATTTAGTCGTTTTTGCGATCCGTAGCTTTCATTCGACTTCCGTCCTCTCAAATATTCAAAGCACTCTACAATCCGTTGTGGGTCCGAAATGGAAACTTCCCACGAGTTAATCAATGGAAGCATTAAAAAACTCACTGACCCTCATACAGGTTCATGATAGTCATTGTCAAGCAATTGTATCATGTAAAATAAAAGTGCGAACTAATGTTATTTTGAGCAAGCTTTTCATAGGTACTGGATCGCAATATAATCAATACCTATTAACAGAACGAAAGCAAAAAAAAAAAAAACAAAAATTCATCAGGTGATTAATGTAACCGAGCGTATTCGACATGGCATTTCATCGAGTAAAAAATTCAATGACGACCGAGACGACAACTACTGTTAATATAAAAAGTACGCAGTGCACGGAAATAAACCAAAGTGCAAATCGATAGCTCACTGAAAAAAAAATAAACTTTGGGAGTTTACGTCTGGATCTGCCGAGGACAAGTTTTAGACAGCGGAAACGTGAAATAAAACGAGCGCAGTGCAGAAGAAAGCAATAAGGATCTTTTAGACCGAAACGAGTTTGCATCGAGGTGTACATGGACATTTTAGATTTTAATATGAGGAAATGCTTGTTATTTTCAGCTCATGGAGTATGGATAAAAAGGTACAACAATACCTGTCCAACAGCTAAACAGCCACGTATCTACAAGTGCACGTCTTTGATCGTTTCGAGGATCCCTCAATGATGAAACAGAAGAAAGTACAGTTCGGAATTCCTCATTGTTGGAAAAGCGAGTTTCTCGAAGCAATCAGCGATCAGCGAAAGACTGGAAAAAGAAAAACCCTCCGGTTAAAGTAACGATAATCACCCACTGTTAACAGCTCGGCAGCATCGACCGAAACATCGCTAAACTCGAAGAGCTCGAATAATCCCCGGGTTCGCTGGATCAAAAATCCAGACGCGGGTAAGGAACTCTCGATCTCTGGACCTCGCGCCTCTCGTTCTTGCGCTGCACCGAATGATTGATAAAACGCTGAATGAAGCCGATAACCGCGTGACAACGTGTTTCCTCAAATTCCAATCGACGCCTCGCAAGCGCGTGTATTTTTTTCTAGGGCTTCACTTGACGCGAAAACAAAAATTCTCCTACGGTCGGACGCGAGCTTCGAGAATCCAGCCCCGTGCGTGAGGGGGGAGAAAAAAAAATAAACGAAAATAGAAGGCCACACACGACGTGTCGTTTCACGCGCGCGGCTTTCCCGAGCTTTGCGTTCGAATATAATCCCGCAAGGCGCGTATACAGGTGCTCGCGCGGGGGGTTGGGCCAGTAGTACGTGTACATGTATGTACAGACGATCGGCCGAGGATATTTAGGCAAGTACTTGTTAAGCCGCAGACGAGCGCGATTACGTGATCCAGACCACTTGATTGTCAAGAAAATGTGAGCTCGAGGAGTAAGTACTCAGTAGTGATATGGATATTGGAGGGGAAAAAAGAAAAAAATGTATCAACCTGACCGAAGAGAGTAAAGACAAAAAGGAAGTACCCATTGGGTATGGGTTTGTCACAAAGTTGTGACAGTATAGAGCACGGCTCGGTGAACGAGTTGCAGGGGGGCTACTTCCACAGAGGAGATTAGGTACATGTGGTGTGTATAGCTCTTCACTTTACCATAATATAGGTTTAAACGGGTAAGCATCCAGAAGAGTAGAGACTTGACGCTTCGCGTATGTTGCGCTTACCCACGTATGCTTGTATGGATATGTTGTGCAGTGAAACATTATATATAGTTACAGTAATAGCACAGTTGCGAGGAGGAGCGATGCAGGAGGTGGTGTGTGCAGGCTGGCCGAGTGGAGAGAGCCGGTCAATACTCCGAATCAACGCGGTGGTGGCACTGGCGGAGCGCAGCTCTCTTCTTCTGCTTCTTCTCTCTCTTCCTCCCACGTACAGAACCTTCGCCTCCACCCACCCACCCACCCAATAGTATATATGTGTGTGTACGTGTACGTGAACACACAGGTCCACGAAATATAGGGAGCGACGACGGGGTTGCATGGGCACTGGTGGTGGTACGAGTTTGGGTGTGCAAGTCACACACTAGCACAGGAGCAAGCAGCAGAGCTAAAAGAAGAGACAGATAGAGAGAGAGAGAGACTTTCCCCCCCCCCGTGGCGAGGTGGTAGTAGCTATAGAGGCTGTAACCCACGGAGAGAGCTAGCCGACGCGACTGCGGGTATAGGACGGTGACGGAGTTGGATTAAAAAGAGAGCACGCGAGTGTGTGTGTGTGTATACGGTGCTGCTCCGGTCTCTGGGGCCGCCGCCGACGTCGAGGGTCGCGGAGAGAGCGGCGCGGAGCGGAGCAGCAGTCAGTGCGTGCGCGTCGTCGCGCTCCAAGCACACTGTCATATGCATTTAAATTCTGCGTTTACATCTCACTACTTACTCGTATCCCGTTGTGTATCCGCTAGTACTTACTTGCTTATCACTCCTTTTTTTTTTTTTTTTTTATACGTATGCACATGTTATACTATAGCTCTCGCTGTGCCATATAAGACGCTGTAATAAATATATATTTGCTCGGACGTGACATGGCTCGATGTGCACATCAGGTGTGTATCAGCAACTTACGTGTGTGTGATTGTGGATCGATTTCGGAGTCGAAGGAGCTTTCATGAGGAAAAAGGGGATGAACGCCAGGTTTGACAGTTTGGTCTACTTGCGTGCGTTGTGGTTGCACTTTTGGTCTCATTGATCAGTCTCAGCATACGCAACTCCTCGTGGTGTGCTTATCACATGCGTATGCAGGTACTGTGCTAAAGACGGACCGAACGAGAGTATCAACAAAGTGCCGTAAACCGGATGTCGCGTTGACACCATGCCAGTCTGAGATGCACATGTTGTTATTATGGTCTTGCAGTGCAGGATTGCAGGGACGTTGTAGGGTACAACTGTAGTTGGGTACACTTGGTGAGCGATACCTTGTTTTGCCGTCTTCAGCAGCTTCCTCAAGGCGGAAGAGAGGTATACATCACCCTACGAGCCATGTGCACCAGTGGTGTGTTATTACGTGCGTAGCCGTCGGCGTTCCTATGTGTATAATATATCCACGTAAGAATATAACAGCCGAGTGGATCGGTTTTCTTCTCTCAAACAGTGTATAATCCGTGTACATGTGTATGGACCCGAGTTGTGGTGGTCGTCTGGTCGTACGTACTTACGTAGTGTGTGTACGACATCGGTAGCAGAAGAAGGTATAAAACAACAAAAAAAAAAAAAAAAAAAAAAGGGACGAAGGACGAAGAGCCAGAGAGAAGGGAGAGAGAAATGTGTGTATACGATAGAGGCGCCGCGGCGTCGTCGTAGAGGTTAAGGACAAGGAAGCGAGTCTCTCTGGCCGCTGCGTGTGCGTGGACGATTTACGGAGGCTGCAGCAGCGTCCTGCCTCTCTCACGCCTCTCAATATACTTTGTGTGTGTTATAAGGTGGAGGAGACTGCGGGAAGAGGAGGGCTAAAAAATGGCAACGGAGCCGCCGAGAGGAGGGCCGCGCCGGCCTCCACCGCCAAGGTGCGCCAGCCAGCACGAGTGAGATTTTTTTTTTTTTTCCTCGCGTTTGTTTGTTTACTTACTTTGACGTCGAAAGGGTGTAGACACACCACCATCCCACCCCCTTAGTGTCGAGTGTGAGCGACCCCTTCGCTGTGACAGTTTCTTCTTTTGCCGAAGAGGGACGTCCGTCGAGTTGAAAGTGAGTTTGTCGCTCGGGGGTTCACTCGTTTCGTCGGTTGCATTAGGTGCCGGAAGACGTCTTCGCCATGGCTGCCAGTTCGTGTTATGGTGGTGGTTTTAATAGTTGTGGTGCCGGTGATTGTAGAATGAAGAACGGCTGGAGGAGGAGGCGTAGTCCTTCGGACTCGGGAATCACCTGCCGGCTGATGATCGTTTGGTTGACTGCTGGATTGCTCGCTGTTACCACTGGTGAGTAATTTTTTTTTTTTTT